ATAACAATAATCACAGTTTGGGATTCACCCAATTTTTCAGTTGACACAACCACCGGGGGAGTGTCATCAAGCTGTAACTATTTGAATGGTGACAAACTGGTTACTTGGTTGTAGGAGAAAAGGGTTTTTAATTTCTAGATTCTTAAAAAAAATTGTCATTTTCATCTGCGTTCTAAACACATAAAACTATGATTTATATTTCAAAATTGAGAATGAAATTGACTTGATGGACTTCTGAGATTTCCAAGACTTGCAGCTTAATGTCTCCTGGTGGACAGAGAGGGGAAGGGGGACACACTGTTCGGGTGCAGGCTTCCGTGTAGGACTGAGCCTACCATGGCCCGTGGTGATGCTCCACCAGCTCTCACCATGTCCAACTCCGCCCCCCACCCCGTGACTGAGCTGCTAGAAGCCCCACCACACAGCAAGAGATTGCTGTCACATAGGAGAGAAGGAACAGAGCAAAACACAGCATAAGCTCGAAAAACATTTTGGTGCAACGTCTTTCAGCTGGGTGTCCCCCTTGAGCCCATTCTGGGCCTGAATTGGAAAAGATGTGCTTTCTCCTCTTCTGAGGTGGGAGGAGGTGAGGGCTGAGTAGTCTCCTGAGGAAGACAAGAAAACCTGTATCTTGTAGCCCAAACCATTTGAAGGTGTATCCCTGTAGATTCCATTCTGGTTTTATTTTTAAGATTTTATTTATTTATTTGAGAGTGAGTGAGAGTAAGAGAGATCACAGAGGGAGAGGAAGAAGCAGACTCGCTGCTGAGCAGAGAGCCTGACGTGGGGCTTGATCCCAGGATCCTGAGATCATGACCTGAGCCGAAGGCAGTCGCCTAACCAACTGAGCCACCCAGAAGCCCTGATTCCATTCTGTTTTGTTATCTCTTCTCCTCCTGTAAAATCTTTTTGGTCCTTGCAGATGTCAGCTGTGCTCCTAGGAATTAGTCAACGGTAGTTAGGCCGGAGCATCCAAGGTGGACAGTGACAAGTGTTGTTAATAAGAAAGCCTCTGAAGAAAGATGACTCTGGAGGACAAGAGCCAGGGCTACGGGTCTAATTTATTTTCTTAAGGGGAGAATATCTCTCTCTCTGAGGACTAGGGTTTGACTTTTATTAAAGCAAATGGCAGGGGCGCCTGGGAGGCTCAGTCATTTAAGCATCTGCCTTCAGCTCAAGTCATGATCCCAGGATCCTGGGATCGAGTCCCACGTTGGGCTCCCTGCTCCACAGGGAGTCTGCTTCTCCCTCTGCCCCTCCCCACACTCAGTCTCCCAATCCCTGTCTCTTTCTCTCAAATAAATAAATAAAAACTTAAAAAAAAAAAAAAAAGCAAATGGCAGCACCCCTTCGAAGCTACCTGTGTATGGAAGGGAGAAGGGTTCCCATCCGTCAAGGACCCCAGAAGAATTCCATCTGAGATGTGTGGCCTCCAGCCATTGAGACCTGATGTTCTGCAGCTGTGAGAGCCAGCGTCACTCCCAGTCACTTATTCTAGACATCATGGATTTGTCATCGATAGTCTTTATTCTAAGAGGGAAGCCAGGGAGGAATTTTCCACTTTCTTAATTTTCCAGACACAGCCCTGGATAAATCAACCAAACAAAGCATGTGTTGAAGGAAAGTTTATGAAAATATGAATCAGGATCAAGAGCCAAGGAAAGGTCAACGGACTGGGCCACAGCAGGCAGCTCTCTGAGTCACTGTGGGGCTCAGCAGGGGCAGAAGACACTGAGGGTCTGTGCCCCCCAGTCCCCATGTAGGTCAGATAGCTCCTTGTAGCTCTGTGAGGTTGCCAAGCACTTTCACGTGTGTCTTTATCTCAGTTGACCTTCTGGGAAAAGACCAGACCTTCCTGGGCCCTTTATTTGATGTGACTCAATCTTCACCCAGGACTTTCTCATGGGCAGACTCACAGTATTTGAGGGGGAGAAACCAAAGGAAGTGGGTTCTGGGGCTGACTCATTATAGGAAGGTGAGCCAAAAGGTAACCAAGGGGTTCAACACCTATATTTCATCTTTCCTCTGACCCATTCACCTCTCACCCTTGCCCTCAGGTCAGTCCTGTCCCCTCAAGCTATCCCAAGAGACCTGGGGCCTGCCCCCAAGGAATGGGGTGAAGGCCTCTTTTACCTCATCAAGCCCCGCTGGGGAGACATGAGAGAATGGGTGGTGACCTTCAGCTTTCATATAATCTGCCTTTTTGTCCATTATCCACGGACATCTAAATCTTCTTTCTTATGCACACTTAGACATGAGTCCATCAGCTGGCAAATAAATCTTACCTTCTAACCACCATTTCAGTGGCAATTCAATTACTTATATCTTTACCAGATTGTATCCCTTTATTCCATTAAATACTCATGGAAATTAACAATGGAAATGCTCAAAGTAGTAAACTAATAATAATAAAATGGAAAATGAGATGGGTATCACCAAGTATTCAAAATGACAAATATTTAGTATGAGGCTTAATGCTCCTTGATCTCTAGCAGCTTAATTATGGGTCTAAATGCTGAGATTAAATGCTAAAGAACACCTACAAAACAGTGGAAATGTACATTTTGGAGACTGCGTTATGAATAAAATGGAGGGAGCTCAGTGGAACTCCAGCACCCCTTCCCTGAAATCTCTGTTAGGAATCAGCCCATTCTCTGACATGAGTCATTAATGAGTCATTAATGGTTTCTCCATTTTGGACCAAGGGCTGTCGACACAAATGCTACTTCAAGCCCTTCTCTCCCACCACCACCCCCCAACCAAAGAGTGCCTCTGATCCCCTGCTACAGAAATTCTGGAAGCAGTCTTCAGGGCAAATTGTCAATTCTCATTTTAGGAGTGTTCAGGTGAAATCTCATTTTAGGAGTGTTCGGGTGAAACCCTTGAGAAAAGAAGTGAACAATCCCCAGTACCGTAGCAGGGTGCTTGGAATCACAGCTACTGAGTGTCTAAGGGGGAAGGGAACATGATCTAAGAGGTGGTAGGACGGGTTTGAGGCCAGGGGCGGGGTAACAGCGTTATCCTCCAGAGGCCCAGGAGAGGGATAGGATTGTCAATTGGGTCTTCCCAGTTCAGGTACTTCCTTCAAATACTCTTCTGGCCCGGGCTACTGTGTGGTAGAATGAGTATTGCTGAAGCTTATTCCTGGCACTCATCTCCCAGGACGAGGCTTCAAAGCTCCTTGAGCTCCCCACCATCAAGACCAAGCAGCAAGCAAGGACAATAATCAAAGTCTCCATCAGAGCAGATATTCCTGTGTGGATACCCAGGGGATCAGGAAGGCTGGGGGTCCCTGCATATGTGGAAGAGGACACCAGCCAGCAGACAGGGCAGGATGGTTTGGAAAATTACTCCAGCCGAGAGCCCACAGCTCGGGGCACAGTCATAGATCCATCGATGCCAATACGGAGCACCCCGTCTCCAGGGGTATTTTTTGTGTGTGTGACTTTAAGAAGCTAGTAGAAAATTTAGGATTCTCCAAAAGCCATGAGCTGCCTACTGCAAAACATTCAGTGCCAATGGATTTTTTTTCCCTTTCAATTGAACTTTTTCCCCTGAATATCATGACCAGAGTTCTTTCAAGTGTGTCCAATCTGTCCATAAATAGCAACCACTTATCATGCCCATACTCACTTATGTCATCTCTTTTTTCCTCACATCAACCCCGAATGATGACAAGCTCAGAGAGGTTGACCAGCTTCTCAAAGGCCCCACAGTGAGTGGAAAAGTCAAGTTTCAAATACAAGCTCTTCCCCACTAGGAAGAGCCCTGGACCCCCAGGCCCCCAAGTGGTAATGAGGCTCCAGGCAAGAGGTAAAATTCAGTTAACTCCAGTGCTTTGTGTTAGCTGTGATAAAGCTGTCCCAGGAAAGGACATAGCCTCCTTCACTGACCTCTCTCATCTAAAACCTCTAGCCATTCAGATGGATCCATTCAAGAAAGGTAAAACTTATTGAAGAAATCCTTAATCCTGAATGTTAAATTTTGTATGAACCTAAATGCTACAGTTTTGTTTACTGCCAGGTAGAAACAAGACCAAACAAAAAATGTGTGTGATCCTGACAAAGCCCAGAGTAAATCAAGGGAAATCACTCTGAAGCCCTAACTGTGTAATTCTAGAAGCCCATTCTCAGATTTCTAGGAGTTAGTTCCATTGAGTGGCTGTTGTCACAGGACTGAGAGGGTCAGAAAAGTTGTCGTAGGATAAGAGCCACGGCACAGTGAGAAGACAGGAGACATCTGTCCCAGCTCTGCCACCAAGTATCAAGCGTCTTTAGTTTACTCCCTTCACTCTTCCGGCCCCTATCTGACTAGGATCTGTTTCCCAATTTTTTTTTTTTTACATCATGGTGCACACACAGGTAAGGCCTACAGCTCCAGACACGCCATGAGGAAATATCTCAGGAGTAACAGTCCTCGGAGACCTGCAGCTCATTTGTGGCAGACCAGTAAGGCAGCCCTGGTCTAGATGATGACTAAAATACCACGAAAATCCCAAGTCTGTGTTCCTTTCCAAACAACTTTTAGGAGGACCCCCAAATGGCTCACTCGGCACGTTTATCACTGGATCTCTACACAGAACCATGTAAAATTCCGAGATCACATCTTATAAGTACAGAAATGAAAGTCCCTCCAGGGAAGGGGTCTTTTTCCCACAGCCTGGGGACCTTCTGTAAGGTCCCATTGAGGAGCTTGAAAAACTCTGTCAACCTTCTCAAAATGCAGCCAAAATTTTGTGTGTATGTACATTTTTTCTAGGGAGATATCCACATTGCTCCCCAAATTATCAGAAAGGGCCACTGTTTAAAAGGACAGAACTTACTGGGATAAGACAAGTTTTATCCATCTTTGAAGCCATGTGGCTGTACTGTACAAATCCTGATTCAGAGCACTTGGTCCATCACTAGGAGAGTATATTCAAGCCTGAGAACACCAGCACCATGTCCAAATACATGAAAGGCCAGAACCCTTGAGAAAAGGCACCTCTTGTATAGGACACAAAACATATTTAATAACAACAGAATTGCAATGTGCGGATATAATTCATTCATGTTATTGCATTAATAATACAGCTTTACATACTTTTAGACAAAAAGAAAAAAGGCACAGGTTGGAGGGGAAGGAAGTTTTTGACTTAAAAAATCATTCCAATTAAGAAATTCACCAACAGTACCGGTCTCCCATAAGTCACAGATTTTCAGAAAATACCTTTACCTCTGATGGATTGGCTTTCTTTTTTTCTGACACCCTCAACTTGTCATTTATTTATAAAAGGTTAGTCACTGAAGAATCCTGGAGAATCTCTTTCTAAAATTCATAGGCAACTGGGACAGCCTGACAAGAGGACACATCCCAGGGTCTCACCCTGTCTCCTGACTCGTGGGGCTGCTCTGCCTTTCTTCACTCTCTGGAGAGAAAGGGCTTGGAAGGGAGGGGAAGGCTGTAGGGGATGGGCTCCACATCGGACACAGTGAAGGGCAAAGTGCCCCTCTGATGTCTGTGGCCATAGAGCCTTCTCCAGCATCAATGGCAATCTCCAGGTACCAAGCAGAGGAGAGAAAACTCAGGGGTGAGAGGAACAGAAGGAGGAACACATCAGCCACCATCACTTCGCTCCTGGGTGCACCAAGAGAAGCAGCTTCCTTTACTTAAACTGGCAAATTCTCCATGAAAAATCACGACTCCCATGTTGGAGACAGAAACCGAGAAGCAAAGAATTCACAAACATCTGATTAGAAGAATCCTCCTGAGCTTCTTATTTCTGTTGGTTGTCCCTTGTCACCATAATAAAATCGATACCTGCTACCGTTCACCCAGGGAAGAAAGAAAGAAGGGAGGGGGCACTCCATAAGAAGAATGAAACAAAAAGCAAATATTACACGTGAATCTTAAGGACCTATGGCTAAGTGGAATAAGCCAGGCACAAAAGGGCAAATCCTGTATGATTCCACTTACATGAGGTGCCTGGAGGAGCCGAAATCATAGACACATAAAGCAGAACGTTGCCAGAGGCTGTGGGCAGGGGAGAGGGGGAGGTAGTGTTTAACAGGGAGAGAGTTCCATTTGGGAAAGATGACAAAGTCCCACCAGACACTTTATGCAATCGGCAGCCCGAGAAGGACACAGAGCCCCTGGTCCTTTTCCCTGCTCCCCATACACTCTGCTCCTCCCTGCATGCTGGGGTCCCTGTTCTCACCCCTCCTGCTCCTCCCCACCTCCCCCTCCCCTGTCCTGCCCACTGGCTGACCCCCTTCCAGCCCCCATGGACTCTTCATTAGGGCCGCTATCATGAGATACCATAGGCCGAGTGGCTTACAAACAACAAAAATTAATTTCTCACAGCTGTGGAGACAAGAAGTCTGAGAACAGGTGCCTTCGTGGTCAGGTGAGGACCTTTTTTCAGATCACAGACTTCTTGCTGTGTCCTCACATGGCCGAAGTGGCAATGGACTTCTTGGGTATCTTCTACGAGAGTACTAATCCTATTCAGGACGTCTCCACCCTTCTGACCTGATCACCTCTGGAAGGCCCCACCTCCCAATACCATGACACTGGGTGTTAGGACTGCAACATGTGAATTTGGGGGACACAAACATTCTGACCCCAGCAGGCCACTTGTTAGGGCTTGATGTCATCAGCCACAGAACGAGAGACGTGGACTCTATCTAAGCTCCTCAGGTGGGGGTCTTTGAAAGTAGTGATGAGTTTACAGCTAATTTTGAGCATCAAAAGTCCTTGCACCTTGTTAAATCATAAATGGACCTGTGATGAGGGGACGCTGGCTAACTGAAAGATTACTTTGTTTTACGTGGACCAGAATCGCATCATCTTGGTGCGCTGTTTCTCTCACATGTTGCTCAGAATCCCAGCCTTCTTGGCCAGCTGGAAAAACAAGTGAATTGTTACTTATTTTGACTTGACAAATCCTTTCCTTTCAAGGCTGGGGCCCAACAGGATGGTGATTAATGGGCAATCCCAGTGGGGCCACACTTGGTCCCCACTGGTCTGTGTGACCACTCAGTGGCTTCCAGTATGAGTGTGCTAAAATCATGGTCACGAAAAAAGTGCGGTTCTCCTTGCCAGCCCTCCCCAAGCCCACAGATTGCCTCCTGCCATCCCCTGACTTCCATCTCTGGCCCCATGGGTGCCACACCACGCACCAAACTTCCTGACAACTCAACTGCCGCTCTACAGTCCTCCATGTCCCATTCCCCAGGGGCTCACATGCTACATCTGCTCTGTGTTCAGGGAGTGTTCATCAGAGCCCATAAGTGAATGAGGGTCTTCTGGAAGGGTGATGCCTTTCCCTAAAGAAGGAGCTCTGATCAAAATGAGCAGCAAACAGAGGACCTGTAGCAACAAGTACACAACGGCAAGCTTCAAGCCGACTGCCCAAATGCCATGTGTCCTTGTCCAACCATGAGCCACCCCATGCCGACCACGCCATCACGGGTGACCAACCCCACATTGGCCCCCCACTAGCCAGCCAGGAGGTGTCAGGACGTGTGCTTCAGCAGCTGGGCAGAAGAAGATGGTGGCGGCCTTTTGGGTGGCATGTGATACCTCACTTTTTTCCAGAACTTGGACTTTGCACACTGTGACTGCTCTGTGAAGTCCCCACTCCACTGGACGGCCCCGTGCTTCTGCTTGATGTACTGAATTGACTCCGGCATGGCCGCGTAGTCCTTGACTTTCTCCAGTTCAATCAGGATGACCTTCATCCCGTCCTGGATGAGCGCATTGTAGACTGCAATTTGTTCTTCCGACATGTTCTTTAACAAGTCAAAGCTCAGGGATTCAGGAACTAAGATGATGATCAGCCTCCTGCACAGCTTGATGTTTTCGTCAATGACATTGGCCACTGCTGCAAATAAAGAAGATGCAGACTGTCTCAGGAGTGGAAGAGCCTAGATCGATCTCTGAGAATATTAGAAATGGGCCCTGGATAAAGGCAACATGGGCTTTAAAATAAATGTGACTTAGGAATGGGTAACAAAAGTGATTTTTTTTAACACATAGCCTATCTTCTGTGAAGCCTTCCTGATTTTCCCTGAAAAATTGGTCCTTTGTGTTCATAAGTCATATTTTTTGGTAGTTAGTTGCTGATAGGTCACTTTCCTTAGCCCACTGACTGCACCCACAGACCGTGACCTACCCAGAACAAGGGTCTTACCGTGCCTAACTTTGTATCACCAACTTAACTGAAGGTCTAGTATATATTAGATGATGAACACATTTTTTAAATAAATAGATTTTAAAAGGACAGGGAAAATGTAGGTAGTTCCAAAGTTGTATTAATCTTTATTTGTGTTTTCCTCTTGGGCTTCGTAGCTAGCTAAATGCCCAGGATTTATAGGACTAACTTGAAACTAAATAACACCCCCTGATGATTTCTTGGGGAGAGTTCTGGAAATATCCAGCTATGGATGAAACTTGGTCTTTTTTAGCATAACGACTAACTTCTATATCCTCCTTTTTCTTAGAATATAAAAATACACTGTGACCTCCCCAAGTTCATGTTCTTCTTCTCTTTGGCTTATTTTTCTAGCCCCTAGAATTTTACAAGGCACATAGCCGGTGCTCAATAAATATTTGCTGAATAAGTGAGTGAAAGAATATGCTTATGAAATTTGAAGTCTTCCACACATTTATGGCGAGCACTAGATCAGATTTTCAGTTCCTCATGGAGGCTGATCTTATAACTTGAAAAGATGCGGGCTGAGATATAGTTGTCACTCACCACGGATATGGGCAACCTACAAATCCAAAGTACTCAGCAACCTTTCCAAATGACCCAGAGAAGGCCACTACCAAATGCTGTAAAGTCGTCATCTTGGTTTCCTCTTGACTAGTGCAGGATGCTTATTTCAAATTTCAGCCATTTGTTGTATAGCGTTCCAAGAAAGAAAACATGTAGGTCAAGAGGGAAACTTTATCTGTCGAATGTCTAATATGCGCTAAGCTCCATATTGGTCCCCACTCAGGTTTTACCTCATTTCATTCTGTCGCCCGAGTTAAGGAAGTATTCTCCTCCCCATTCGACAGATAAGGTTCAGAGATGTTGCCTTCATTGCCCAAAGCTACACTCTTGTTCAAAGGGAGACGTAAATAAATAAATTCTATTTTATTTATGTAGGAGAAGCCTGGGCAGTTAAGTTTTATAAAATCATCTTTAAACATGAGCTGATTTACATATTCGAACTGATGGAGAATACTCAGCAGTTAGTCTCAAGGGCATGAGGGCAAATGACCTCTTTTCTCCATTTGGTCCCTTGGCCAAGGCTGTCATCAGCCAACTGCTCGTGTTACTCATAGTGAGAGTCACATTATTTCAACCAGGAATCCCGGTTATCCTGTTACAGGAATGAGCCCCAGAGAGAAGAGAGCTGGTCCTAACTCGGCTCAGGGGCTGTGGGCTGAGGAGGTGCAAGACTCCCCATGGTTCCTTGGGGAAAGCAAGCAGATCCTCCCACCCCACCACTTCTAAAGTGAAGGAAAAGAGACTTCCCTTTCCTTTTTATTTGTGGCTTTTACACTTCACTCAAAACATACCTTGTCCAGGAAATTCATCCCTGCCAAATATAAATAATTTATATCCACACTGCCTCTCCAGCACCTCGGGCAGAATCTTCAACACCAGCGTGTCCACCTCATGGCTCTGGATTTCTCTTTGAGGCTTGGGGTATAAGACATAGGCATCATACAGCTTGCCATCTGAAAAGGAAATGGGATAAACTCAGAATTATTCCTACCAAATTCTCTTATGTTAACAGAGCGAAAGTCTGACTTGCTACCATGATGTCCTTTTCCCTTGGGTTCAATGACTTCAGAGTACCCAGTTGGCTCCCTTGGCTCCAAGCATTGCCACACTAGGTTCTCATTCTCTCAACACTTTAAATATTTCACTAATGCTCTTTTGCTTGCATAGTTTCTGAGGACAAGGTGAATGCAACTCACATCTTTGTTTCACGATAGGTAATGTTTTGTTTTGTTTTTTACCTCTGGCTTCTTTTAGGACTTTTTTTCCTTACCTTTGACTTTCTGTGGTTTGAAAATGATATGCCTAGGTTTTTGTTTTTTTGTTCATCCTGCTTGGTATTCTCTGAGCTTCCTGGATTGTGACATTAATTCGGGGAAATTCTTAGTCATTAGTGTTTCAGATACTTATGTTCCTTTCTCTCTTTCTTCTCCTTTGGTATTCCCATTACATTTATGTTACACCTTCTGTGGTTGTCCCACACTCATTGGATACTTTGTTCTTTTTTTCCCCCCAGTCTTTGTTCCTTTTGCTTTACAGTTTTGGAGGTTTCTAGTGTGATAGCCTCAAGCCCAGAGATTCTCTGCTCAGCCATGTCCACTCCACTAGTAAGCCCATCACAGGCAGTCTTCATTTCTGTTACAGTTTTTTTTTTTTTTTTAATTGCTAGCTTTCTTTTTGGTTCTTTTCAGGATTTTCATTTCTCTGCTTACATCTCTCATCTGTCGTTGTGTGCTGTCTGCTTTTATGCATTAGATCCCTTAGCATGCTAATCAGGGATGATTTAAATTCCCAGTCTGATAATTCCAACATCCCTGCCATTTCTGGCTCTCAAGTTTGCTCTCTCTTCAAATTGTGCATTTAATATGCCTTATACTTTTCTCTGAGAGCTGGATAGAATGTATCGGTAAAAGAAAGTGCTATAAACTGGCCTTTAGTTACAGAGTGGTGAGGTGTGGAGGGAGGGGACATGTTCTATGGTCCTGTGATTAGATCTGTCTTTTAGTGACTCTGGACTATGAACTTCACAAGCATTTCTCCGTTTTTTATCCCCACTTAGGTGGGGCAGGTTGGCTAGATTGGGCTGGAGTTGGATATTTCCTCCTGTGCAGGTCAGTTAGACTCTGATAATGCCTTAGCGGGTAAGGCTTTCATTAACTAGTTTCTCCTGAGGGCAGGCCTTGTTAATAAGAACTGAGTGCTCTAGGATATTTCAGAATGATTTTTCTCCTCCCCCTGCTGGAAGCACAAAGAGATTTTTTTCTCTGATATTTACAGTCAGAACCAAGTCAGGCTTCTGGAGGGAAAACTCACAAAAGTGTGGGTTTCTACTCCTTATGACTAGGTTCCCTGAAGTCTCAGATTTATCCACATTGAGCCTCCAGTGATTTGTCAGTTACAATTGGTATTCCTACCCCATTGGCATTGACCTATGAGGAAGGTGGTCCTATCCCCGTTACATAAGAATCACTTCTCCAAGGTCACCCAGCCCCAATTCCAACCTGACACCTTTGACTCTAAGTCCACCAGTCCCCATGGTGAAAATGAGAATTGAAAGCAGGAGTCTCCATCATCTTCACTCTTGATGGGTCCTGTGCAATGGCGGACTGTCGTAAACTGCACCAGGCAAAATGGGCCAAGTCTCTGTGATTCAGACCCACTAGTGAATTTTGTCACTGCAATTGCACACGGCATTGTAGAGACCAAGCCTCTGAGCAGACTCCAGGAATCTGCTGTGCAGTACAGAGAAGTCCAATACAATAGCACATTTCGTCATCACTGGAATGAGGTAAGCATTAATTGAGCAACCAACCACAGGTAACAGTCACTGTGCTCACCCCTGGACAGATGAACAAGACACAAGATCTAACTGGAAAGACCATTCAGAGACTTGGAAATAAAAACATGAGGCGCTACAAGATCACATGGCTGAATGAACAGGAGAGATGGAAAGAAACAAAACTTCCCCATAGCATGAAACTCTTGGGGAAAATTCATAAAGGATGGAGGGCAGTTCCTGGATTTTAAAGGGTTTAGAAAAAAATGAGGCGCTAGGAGTGGAGGATAAAGAGTCCAAGAAGGGGAAGAGCTTGAGAAGCACATGGAAGGGGGATGCTTATGCTCTACTCAGGGGTCATATGAATGAGTAAGAAATTCTAGCAGGGCTAGAAGGTTCGAGTGAACATCTCATTAGAAAATGTGATATTTTTTTGAGCTCCAGGCTATTTGGAAATTCACAGTTAACCTAATGGGACCCAAGAAGAAGTCATCCCTTTTTATTCCCTTTTTATGGAAGTTTGTTTGATTGAACAGACTTGAAAAGAAGGGTGGCTCTGAGCCCAAAGAAAGAAGGTAAAATCTTGGATACTTCTAGTTTTTGTCTAAATAATAGTACAGACAGTCCCTGACTTAGGAGGGTTCGATTACAATTTTTTGACTTTATGATGGTACAAAAGCAATACACATTCAGGAGAAACCATACTTCAAATTTTGAATTTTGATCTTTTCCAGGCTAGTGATATGCGGTCCTCTCCTCTCTCTTATGGTAGGCAGTGTAAAAAGCCTCAGCTCCGAGTCAGCCACGCAATCTCCAGGGTCAACAGTCGATACACGGACAACCATCTGTCCCCATACACCTGCTGTTTCCCACCTTCAGGGCAGTATTCAATCAGTCACATGAGACAGTCAACCTTGATTATAAAATAGGCTTTGTGTTAGATGATTTTGCCCAACTGTAGGCTAATGTAAGTATTCTGAGCACATTGAACGTAGGCAGGGCTAAGCTGTGATGTTCTGTGGGTTACGTGCATTGAATGCATTTTATTTTATTTTTTAAAGATTTTATTTATTTATTTGAGAGAGAGTGAGAGAGAGAGAGCACGAGAGGAGGGAGGGTCAGAGGGAGAAGCAGACTCCCCACTGGGCAGGGAGCCCAATGTGGGACTCAATCCTGGGACTCCAGGATCATGACCTGAGCCAAAGGCAGTTGCTTAACCAACTGAGTCACCCAGGTGCCCTTGAGTGCATTTTAACTTATGATATTTTTAACTTATAATGGGTTTATTGGGATATAACCTATCATAAATCAAGGAAGATCTGTAGTTAAAATGTGTACAGAACTTTAGAGTTTACATTGTAGCCTTTTCCCATTCAATAAATTCTCACGCCAACCACCACTGACAACCTTTAAGTCTCTGCCCACCATTCCTGGCCATCCTGTGGAAATGGTAATACACACACATGGGCATCCATGCACACTCACTCTTCCTCAGTCTCCCCAACCCCTGTCATAAAAGGAAGCCGTATGAGAATGGGGACTTTTTTTGGTGGGGTTCCACCCCCAGTGCCTGGAGCAGGAACTGAGACAGAGGAGGTCCTATCAGTAGTTGCCAAATGTCTGAATGGAGCTTGATTTTACAGAGGCTCAAGAAGGTTAAATCTGTGAGGGGAGAGAGAAGTTTTAGATCATGAGCTGATTCAGCTTTTTAATAAATTGGAGTCATAAGGCAGGTACCCAAGGGATGATTAATTTGTGTTTGGAGTCGGCAGAAACCCAACCCAGCTAAAACTCCTTCTGTAACGTCTTCAATATTACTAGTCTATACCACCACTCCATAAGTGGATATTTTTCTGAATTAAATTTAATGTCATATACTTGACTTTCTAAAGCCAGGGGACATATGAAAAAAAAATTTTTTTTTAGGATTTCATATAGGCTTTATGTTTTTAAACATTTTAAAAAGGATTTAAATGTCCTTAAAAATTTGATAATATTTAATCCTTTTATGATAAAGGGTTGGTTGGGTTGGCATTCTCCTCATCACATAGCAGAGCCTCCCAAATGAATACAGTATTTCTTGGTCTGTAAACTACAGCAAACATCCGTGTTCATCACCACCTTTGTCTGAAACCCTGCCACGGTGTCTCTCTTCTCTCAGGCCATTTCTCTTTCTTCCTTCTCATTAAAAAGCAAAACAAAACAAAACAAAACCCTATGTTTGCTGAGTGAATTCTCTCTTTTGACTGTGTTCCACGTTCCCTGTTTTTAGGCGAGGTGTCTGAAAAGACAGGTGCTCCATGCTGGGCAAATGCAGACTCTGAGACAGAAGAGACTTAGGCAGCAAGGGACTCTCACACCTTCTCGAAAAGCAAAATACAAAATGCTCCCAATTTTTGGGTCATCTTTTATTTTTTTCTTTCTAAGATTTTGGGTAGTAATGTAACCTCTGTGGCTTATTCTCAAAAATGCAGTGGGTTCTCATCACTTCCAAATGATCAGTTCGTCCTTTATTCACCAGTCTAGCAAAAAATATCAAGCTGAGGCCATTTTGCTTTTAGCCTCTGCCTGAGGTTTTGAAGGGCGCTCTCAGACAACTGCCTGCCAGCTTTGCCCGTCACGGTCACGGTGAGGGTCACATTTGTATCCCTGGATTACGGGAAAGGGAGCTGAGACAGACAAGGCTGTGTTATTTCTCGTCTTTGAGCTGCTAAGTGCATAGCCTTGATTCAAATCCAAGTCCACCACTCCCTCTGGTGTGGCTGAGACGAGAATCAGGAGGAGGAAACGTCACAAAGCATATACCTGATTAGTCCCTTGCAAGTGTGTCAGACTGCATTTTTTCAGAAAATAGCCCCAGCAGGGGCGCCTGGGTGGCTCAGTTGGTTGAGCGACTGCCTTCGGCTCAGGTCATGATCCTGGAGTCCCGGGATCGAGTCCCACATCAGGCTCCCTGCTCGGCGGGGAGTCTGCTTCTCCCTCTGATCCTCCCCCTCTCATGCTCTCTGTCTCCCATTCCCTCTCTCAGATAAATAAATAAAATCTTTAAAAAAAAAGAAAAGAAAAAGAAAATAGCCCCAGCAATATTTCCAGTTCCACATGCTCTTTCAGAACCGACCATACCTCCCCACAAAGAGGTGAAATCTATTTCCATTCCCTTAAAATTGATGAGGACTCTGTAGCTGCCCTGATAAATAGAATGTGGTAGAATTGACTCTATAGATTTAGGGTTTGAGTCGTAAGAGAAAATATGGCTTTTCCTGGCTCTCTTGTTCTTGAAACACTAGCCCTCGGAAGTCAATCACCGTGCCATGAGGAAGCCCAAAGTAGCCCACACAGAGACCACATGGAGAGGGCACTGGTCACTGAGGCCACCAACTGATAGCCAAAATCAACTGCCAGTCCTCCAGCGGGGTCCCTAGACATCATGGAGCTGGGACAGGCCATCCCTGCTGTGCCTGTTCACGTCCTGACCCGCAGAACCCATCAGCAAAAGAGATGGCTGCTCTATGCTACAAAGTTTTGAGGTAATTTGCTTCCCAGCCATAGTAACTGTAAGAGCGGTTGGGAAGGTAACAATGAATGGCAATAGATAATGATGAGTTTGACATGCCCCCCCCAACTGTTTATTTCATCCAGAAAACTGTAGAAACGTAGACCTACTAGTAAGTGTTTTAAGGAAAGGGCCTGTTAGCAGATACTCCCACAACTTGCCTTTATATAGTGGATAAACCTAGACAGTTTATCTAGGTTCTGGCCAAGCTCCTTTAATTTCCTGAAGACATTCAGCCCTAATTTTGATGTTAAAACATCTGCATATGCCTTTATTGGCCGTTGGCAGAAATACAAAAGTCTATTGGGATGTATTAATGTTTATGAGAGATTGCTTAAAGATTATTCCACCCCTTACTTTCTTTTCTTAAGTTTCAAACCTAATCAGACTGAACCAATGGAAAAATCAGACAGAATCAGTTTGGTCTTCACATAAGTGCTTTTACTTGATTGCATGAGGTTTGGCATTTTAGCCCTAGCATGGAAGACACTAGAAGAAAAGCCACATTCAACATGCTACTACATTTACCACAGGAAAGTTGTTGCAGACAAGATTCATTATATTACACCCTTTAAAAATGAGTCTCCCTACAAAAGCTTTTCCTTGGAAAACTGTCCCAGAAAAAGCTACGTGCTCTCGTAAGCAATTCAAGTGCATTTGTGAACAGCACATAATGTGTCTTGTCATTGCTTTTACCTTTACTTCTAAAGCTAACTCATCTTTGAAAAGTGTCCGGAATTTGTCATTAATTCTACCCCCAAGCTTTATTTTACCATTCTACCCTCCATTCACTATACCTATTTTGTTTTTGTTTTTAATCGTTGTGTTCTACATGTATGTTCTCCACAAACCTATTTGGAAGACGGTGAGACATATGCAAATCTCTCTAGATGTGGAAACTGGCCCTTTTATTTTTGTACACGCATGCACACCCGGAAGGAGAATTTTTAAAGTAACTCCCATAATTTACTAGAGAACATACAGAACTCATGGATTAGGGCTGTTGATGACTCAGTAAAACTGAGCTATACCCACCTGTTACTCATGTTATAAAGTGTAACTCATCTAGTTGGGGAAATATTTTGTCATAAGAAGGACACAATTTGTCTATATCGTCATTTGTATTTGCCACCCCTTACTCCACAGGTTCCCCCCAATAACTCAGAAAATATCTCCCAGGGCCACAATGCTGGAAATAGCATCAGGGACAAATCTTAAGTCTCATCTCTAGCTCATTGTCAAAGCCAACACTCAGAGAGGAATTACAGGGGTCGTTCTCATAGATGGAGCTGTAGAGATTAGAGATTTAGTCATAAAGTATGCAAGTACTTCTCTGAATTAAGAAAAAAAAGGAGCCCTGGCTGACTGTGAGCCCCGATGTCCAAATTCTCAGCCCGAATTTGGGCTGGAGCCCAGTCTCAGCAGAGGGTGGGGCTCCCTGAGTCTGTCATCTGCTCGGCTCCCCTGCTCTGGGTGAGTCACCATTCCTTTCTTCTCTTCCTGCTAAACTCGACCTCACCAGCAGGCAGCTGCACTGGCCCTCGGCTCTCATGCTCCTGGGAGTCACAGTGAGTCATGGAGTGAGACGCGCACCCAGACCAGAGATCTGGGAACACCACTGAAGTCCCCGCAGTGTCCAGTCAGTCAGTAAACAGAAAGCAAGTGGTGGTGTGCTGGTCTCCTCTGCCACATTCGCAGGCAGGAGCATAGCCACAGGGAGGCTCCGAGGGGACCCCACGTCCAGCCGACGGGCCTCAGCACTAGAGAAGCTTCAAGAGGCATTGGACATGCACAGTTGCGTCTCCGCGATTGAATTTGGCCCTCAAGAAAGAACGTGTTGCTTTCTACACTGCTCCAGGACTGCCAGTTTTGATTTCGGAAACTTACCTTAGAATGAAGTCCAAGTTAGGACACCTGTTTTCTCAAATAGATGGACAACAACTTGTACTGTGTGTTTTATATGCAAAACAGACCCTCGGTGTAAATAATGCCTTTCTTACTGGTGGGTACTCATAAAACGTGCTTGGACACCCACTTCCCTGAACTCCAACTCTAGTCCTCATCGCTGGTCTCCAGACCTGAATGGTATAAATGAGGGTATTTCCGTGTACGTGAAGCACATAGACTTCTCTCGGCTGTGTATTAATTTTCCATCCAATCAGAGGACATTAAAGCAGACTTTTTTTTTTTTTCAAGGCCTTAATAGACCACAACCATTCTGAGACAACAAGAAAACAGCACAGAGTCTTAAAAAAACCACAATGGTTGGGGGTGGGGCGCCTGGGTGGCTCAGTTGGTTAAGTGTCCGACTCCTGATCTCAGTTCAGGTCTTGATCTCAGGGTCATGATTTCAAGTCCCGAATTGGGCTCCATGCTGGGCATGGAGCCTACTTATAAAACAAAAAGAAAAAGAAAAAAATACCACAATGGTGGGACGTGCTCATTCCTCAGAGTTTCAGGACCGCACTGAGGCATTTGTGTGTTGAGACGTGCTGGCAGGACGAGAGCTCCAGAGACCACGCTGAAACCTGGGGCAAAGGGGCAGAGGCAGCTCACTTTGGCCTTCAGACTACAGGGTGCCCCTTGTGCCCCAGGTCCCTGCTCAGGGTTTTCCTGGACTTCAACTCAGTTGTTCCTACAATACTCTGAGAGGCAGGCTCTGATCATTTTCTCTCCCTCCCCACTTCCTCCCTTTCCTTCCCTCCTTCCTCCCTTCCCTCCTTCCTACTTTCCTTCCTCCTCTCCTTCCTCCCTTCTCTTCTTCCTTGCTTCTTTTTTTCTTTCATTCTATAGCCAAGAAAGAGAAGAGCATTCAACACTTCCTAAGATCACATGGGAGTAAGGGGAGAACCAGATGCAAACCCAGGTCTCTCTCTAGCCTTGCGAGTCAGGGACTTAAATCTTTCAGGCCCCAAGTACAGGGCCTAAAAGAGCTTCCCCCACAGGCAGCTCATCTCTCTCCATAACGTAAACTCTGCTCATGCGCCCATCGTGCTGAAGACGTATCGTGGATGGAGAGCCCTTTGATGCTCTAGGAGAAATTGTCTTCCTTGGCAAACAGCAGTAGATGTGAGAACCTCTCTAAAACAGTCACAGTGGGACCCAGAAGATGACGTGCTCCTGCTTCTTAGCAAAGATTTGCTCGGCCACGACTAGCCTGCAAGCCTCATGCGACTGAACAATGCTGGTAACCATGGACCAATGGTTTCCCTGAAGCATGAGAAGTCCAGGGAGAGTCCTTCCTCCCAATTTGCCAACAACATGAAAGGCAAGCTAGTAAAATATGATAAAGTGTATTTACAATGGTTATACGGATGAGCGGATGCCAAGTATGAGACAATCTTCGGTGGTTACCCACGCTTACCTTCTCCGGTCCCGGTAGAATGGAAGGCACTTCGATACCAGAGTGCAATGTCGATCTTAAAAATGTTGTAGAGGTACATGACAGATGCTGTTGCACTCACCAAGGCGAGAAGCCCACCTATCAAGTAAGCTTGAACATTTGGAGCTACAAATGACAGCAAATAAAGATATAAACAAATAATAATGATAAAACAAAGAGTCAACTCTATGCTTTACTTATACAGATCACATTACAAGTGCCAAATGGAAATGGGTTAGAGGTCAATGAGGATAATGCTTAAATATTTGTTTACAGTTAAATATAATAGGTATATGGGAGTAGAATAATCTGGTGTGGCCCACGAATTTCAGAAAGCAAATGTGCTCTTGGGAACCTGAGGAGGGAAATTCTGCAGAAGCCTAGCTCCTGATGGGGCTGGCTGGAGTGCATGAGGACTTCTCTCAAAACACACACGGCCAGGTCTCACTTAAGCCAACTCTACTAGACTCTCCCGAGGTAGAGCCTTGGACATGTTTATTGGAAGACCTTCCCCGGTGGTTCTGTTGCACATTCCTGATTATTCCACTGTCATAACTGCTTTCATGGGCACTCAAAATTGAGCAGCAGGGCACCTGTCGTAAATAAAGAGCCATCAGCTGCCTCCCCTGAAAGCCAACTCTGTTGTCTCCGGAAGACTGGCAGAGAGCCAAACTCCCCCCTCATCCTCTTTGTGCCAACAAGGTCCAGGCCGGGGGCCTGTCTGCAAGGCACAGTCTCTGAAAGGGCAGAAAGGGTGTCTATCCCTGCTCTGCTTTGCAAACACACTGCAGAGCAATTATGGCAAAAGCTGTGGGTGGGAGACGACCAAGAAGCAGAACCGGTTCCCCTGGAATGTCAAGTCCCTGAAAACAGGCTCCTACACATCCCAGAAGAGGAACAGTACAGTTTGCTCCCTTACCACAGGCCAAAACAGTGATGCCATGGAAGGAGGCTCTAGGAAGGAGAGAATTTGGAAAGAGGAAGAAGGACAAAGGAAGAGAAAGTCTCTCCATTCTTAGAATCCACCGCATACACCACTTCCTTCATCAGCCCCTTCCAGATGCTCCAGTCTCCACTAAAATGTGTGTATGTATGTATGTGTGTATGGGGGGGGGGATAAAAGGGGAAATTGTCTTTTCTTTGAACCCCCCAGAACACATTCATTTAAAAAAAAAAAAATACTCCCTAAGGAGTTTATCATGACCTGCCCTAGGTCACACCATGTTGCAAACAGTTTGAGGTCAAAGACATCCCTATGCACTGCAGTATGTCTTTAAATACAATAAAGCACAATAACTAAAACACATTCTGGGTCAACAGAAATAGCAATCCATTGATTAAGTCCCAGCACAACCAAGTGGATCTGCTCTGCACGCGGGTGCCCGATCTGATCCTGACCACCTGTTTGAGCCTCTAGCTTCTATTAGATGGATTGGCCCTTCCCTCCCATCCTTCCAACTTTTCTTTGTCCTTCCCCAGATCTTGGAGCAACAATGCCACCTCCCCCTTTGGGAGGACCCAGGTCTGGGAAGTTGTAATGTATAGACTTCAGGGATCTTGGTACTGCAATGGTCATGATAAGAAGACCGTGCCATGCAATATTTATGAGATTCATAAAGCCCCTGGTAAGTAGACAGGAGTGATGGCTGGCAATTCTTGAGTTGGTCACTCATTGCCTTCAGGAGCATTAACACCCCTCCCCCCACTCTGGAAATGAGTTTGAAACCAACAAATTCCAAACAAGAAATTAATGCCGAGTTTCCTTATTGAATATCACTCTGCTGCCTCACACCAAGTGTCTCCTTGTCATTGTTTTGAACCTTCTGAACAGCGTGTACTCCACCGAACCGTTACCTGGGAGTTTTAAAATAAAATATGCTGCTGACACTCCGGCGTGACAAATGAAAGGATGACCATAATCTTCCATTTTCACTTCCAAGAAGGTTATGTTCACTGTGTAAAAAATATGTTTCTGGAAAGAAATGTGGGATCTGTAAAAGAAAGGAGCCAACCATTTATATGTGAGGCATAGTTACCCAGCATAGTGTATCATCTTCAGTCCAGAAAATAAAATTCTCTCTCTGGAGAACACTTTAGGCCATCACAGTTACCCTGGGAATGCTTCACGGACTAGCTCGGTGAGGTGCGTGAGTTGTGGCCCTTCCGGATTTCCATTTTCTTCTGGACAGTGACAGATGTCATCCTGAACCCTCCAGAGCCTTCCTCTGGTTGTCTCCACATAGGCTAACTTATCTACCCTGCAGGGCCCAACACCAGTTCTTCCGCCCTCGGACTAGTGAATCTTGCTTTACGCCACCCAATTTATACCACCACAAATTGGGTTTCTACCACGTAATTAGCGCATGATTAAGTCCTGTCTCCCCCAAGAGTCCCCACGCTGCTCCCTGCTTTGCTACTGGAGCCTTGAAGATTTATGGCTCATGATATAACAAAATAGGAAGGAGGCTGGTTTTAAGGACTAGCTGAGAGAAATGGATTTTGTTGTGTGAGGCCCATACTTGATGTTTTGCCTCATCTGTCTAACTAGGATGTGGGAATGTTGATAAGATGAGCCCCTCACACTTCTCTGAAGGGGAGGCTCAGCCCTGCCGAGCGCTGAGGACATCTTTGAGAGGCAAAGCCAAAAGGAGTGATGAGGGGTCAGTGAGAAGCATCTAAAAGAAGTAGTACTAGCACCAAAATAATGTAAGTGAGGAAATTCTTGTCGGCTTTTAGGGAAGCCAGAAAAACACAACACCTACTCGGATCCTTCTCTGATGCGTTTGGATTCACTGTAGTAATCATCCACCAAGGTGCTATTGACTCTCCAGCATCGGAGATTTGTATTATCCCTTGTGTCTGTGATATTGCAGTCCACAGTAAGGGGGGAGCCTATGAAAACAAATTTATAAATGTTACATGAAAAGCCTACAAAAAAGTGATCAGCTAAACAATATCCTTGAACATCTTTTGATTACCAAAAATTCACCCTGGAGGTCAATGTTCCTCTACTTTATTCTCTCCCTGGACAGAGATGATAAGGGACAAGTTACCTTCCAGAGTGTCTACTGTACAGAGATATCCATGTGATATCCAAATACCACCAGCTTCTGGCCAATGTCCTCCTGAATATCAGGGACACAGATACTACCACCAGTCTTAGGAAACTTAACAAAGAACTTTACAAAGTATTTCACAGCTGAACAATAACCCACAACCCTCGGACCAAGTATTTCACATGCATTGTCTTCTTCAGTCTTCCTATCTTCAAAACCATCCTACAATCAGGAAAGAGGAGGAGCTGTAATGCCCACTTTACAAATGAGAACACTGAAGTTCAGAGAGATTGGTGACTTGCCCAAGGTCACACAAGAGAGAAAGAAATGAGACATGAACGCTGGTTTTCTATTTCCAAATCCAGTGATATTTCTACTTCACCAGTCGTGACCCCTCTCCTGACTCCACTGCACACATTCACAAATTATATTTAATAATTTTATATTTTTATTTGATTTTTCTATTTATTTTCTATTTTTATTTGATTTTGCTCCATGAGCCTAGTATATCCCATCTATTTACTCTACATAAAAAATTACTTTATTTCTACACAGTCTATTTCATGTTTCTTTATTCTAGGTGGAATTTATTTTTTCTAATTTGTTTTTTTTTTTTTTTTGAAAGATTTTATTTATTTATTTGAGAGAGAAAGAGGGAGAGAGAATGAGAGAGAGCACGAGTGGGGAGGAGAGGGAGAAGCAGGCTCCCCATGAGCAGGGAGACGGATGCAGGGCTCAATCCCAGGACTCCAGGATCACGACCTGAGCCGAAGGCAGAAGCCCAACCAACTGAGCCATCCAGGCGCCCCTACGTGGAATTTATTTTTCAAAAATCATGAACTATAACACATGTATAGTAAAAAGTATAGAACATAAATGTAAAGCACACATCCATACCACCTTCACCCCATCAGGAAAACAGCATATTGCCGGAACTCCAGAAGCCTCCCACATGCCCCTGCCTACTTTATACTTTATCACTTATGCATTTGCTCTTGAACTGTAGCTTCTGTTGCCCACATTTTGTTTGTGATGCTGATCCGTGCTGCTGCATGTAGCTGACTCCATTCAGATAAGAGAATGCACTAGCACTTGTTTATTTCTTGTACAGCTGCTATGCACACATCTCATTGTTGTAGTGTTTGCCTCGATGCGTAAGGCTGCTGTGAGCTCTCCGCTGCATGCCCCCCGGGGCACGGTGCACACCTTTCTTGTATACACACCCTTATACGTGACTGTGCATGTGCCTCTCTATCTACCAGTAAAATCGGTAGATCTTAGGTTATGGGTATCTGCGACTTTAAAGGAGATGCCGAATCGTTTTCCAGTGTGGTTGGAGAACGATTCCACCACCAGCGGTGTAGGAGAGCACCTGTTACTTTACCTACTCAGCAGTATGTGGTGTTGTCAGTCTATTTATTTTCGCCAGCTCGATGTGTGTGTTGGGACATCACACCGTGGATTGAATTTGCATTGCCCTAGATTGCACCTGCCGCAGCACGTTTTTAGACCTTCATTGGCCGTGTTGATACCCTCTGTTGTAAACTGTCACAGCGGTCTGTCTCGCCTTCTGGTAGGTTGACTTGTCTTTCAATAAACGGAAGTTACTATGTTTACCGTAGTCGTACTTATCAAATTTTACCTCAAGACTAGTCATTGACTAGCATGTCTTTATTTTTTTTTCATCTTTCCTTACCCCAAATCATGAAGGATTTTTTTTCTAGAAATGCATCATTTTGACTTCTTTAGATCTACAACTCACTGGAAATTATTTTTATAAATAGTGTGAGAAAGGGGTCAGGTCTTTATTTTATTCTTTATCCCATCGTCAAGTTCCGTTTATTGAAAAGATCACACCTTACCTAGAGCAGTGTCAACCTTGCCAAAATCAAGTGTGTTTTATGGTGGATCTATTTCTGGGCCTTCAATTCTAACCCGTTGTCTATCTTTGCATCAGAACCACACTGTCTAAACTACAGTAGATTTTTCATAAATCTTGAAATCTGGTGGTACAAATCCCCTCAGCTAGTCCTTTTTCATTAAAAGTATCTTGACTATTATTCAGTCTTTACTTTTTTCCATACCAACATTATAATCAACCTATCAAATTCAGCAAAAACTAAAATTTGTTGAGATTTTGGCTCTCCCTCAAAACAAAGGACATATGTTTAATAGTTCAGTCTTAAGTGTGTTGTTTCTTCTAAGGGCTTCTAAAAACAGATTTTTAAAAATCAGATTAAGGACATTCCCTTACATTCCTAGTTTAGAAGTTTTTTTTTTTAAATAATAAATTCCTAGTTCAGGTGTTCTGAGTGACTTTGCTGCATCTACGAATGTATTTTTTCTTCTTTAATTTGTTAATGTAAAATAAAAGGAAGACTTACCTAATATGAAGCAACCTGGCATTGCTTCATGTAAGCCTAACTGAGCCGCAATGTATCATCCTTTGGGTATGCTGCTAAAATAAATTTGCTAATAATGTGCTTAAAATTTTTCATCTGTGTTGAGGAATGAGACTGGCCTGAAATTTCCTTGTCCATGTTGGGTCTGACTGTCAAGATTTTCCGGACCTAATAAAATGCGTTAACAACTATTTCTTCTTTTTCTACTTTGTGAAACAATTTGTTTAAATCTGTCAAATTTCTTTATTAAATGCTTTGTAGAGTTCACTAGTAAAGCCAAGTGGATCTAGAATTCTGTTTGTGGTAAGATTTTACATTTCTGGTCATATGTCTATTCTGAAATCTGTATCTTCTTTTGCCAGATCCTTTGTGCTGATTTTTATGGAAACTGCCCATTTCTTTTTAGATTTTCAAATTGTTTGGCGCTAGGTTTTCCAGAATATTCTTTTATGACCTTTTTCATGTGTATATTATCTATGGTGATGGCCTCTTTTTCCTTCAGATTGTGCCTTCCCTCTTTTCTTAATCATTCAGGGGGTTAGCAATCACATTCCACTTTTCAAAAAACGAACTTCTTTCTCTGTTAATCACTCAATTGCATGTTCATTTACTATTTCACTATTTTCCGCTATTACTGCTCACCTCATGTCTTCCATTTCTGTTGGATTTATTTTGCTTCTCCTTTTCTGTCTTCAGGGGTGAGCGTGCAGCTCATGGATATTTCAACTAGCTTCCTTTTCTAATTCAGACTATCAAGTATGTCCTGATCAAATCTTTGTATCCCACCAACCTTGGTGTAATCTTTTCATGAGCATTCATTGTCAAATTATTTTCTGATTTCTGTTTTTATCCATGGGCTATCTGGAGGGTTTTTTTTATTTGATTGTTTTCCAACCTATGCAGTTATTCTGTCTTTTTATTTCTTATTTCCAACTTCAGTGTCTTATGGTCTGAGAATATAAAGTTTATATGATTTCAATCTGTTGGATTTTGTTGAGACTAGCTTTATAACCCAATATATGGTGGATTTTATTAAACATGTCTTTTTTTTTCTTATTTCTTTTTAAAGATTTTATTTATTTATTTATTTGAGAGAGAGCAAGCACGAGCTGGGGGGAGGGGCAGAGGGAGAGGGAGAAACAGACTCCCCACTTGAGCAGGGAGCCCCATGTGGGGCTCAATCCCAGGACCCTGGGATCATGACCTGAGCTGAAGGCAGACACTTAACCACTGAGTCACCCAGGTGTCTCTTTATTAAACATTTTATTGTGCTTGGAAAGAATGTGTAATCTGTAGTAGATGGGCTCAGGGCTCTATAATATGAACATTAGGCCATCTGTTGGGCACATTTTGTTTGTCGTTATAGGGTGTTCTGTTTGCTTTGTTCTACCAGCTACCTTGCAAAGTGTCGTTATTATTATTCCATTATTAGTGTGGACTTAATTTCTCTCCATAATCCTGAACTAACTCTCTCTCTTCCTGCACGTGTATACACACACACACACACACACACACACACACACTTCTAAGGCCATGTTATTATGTATCTACAGGTTCACCATTGAACTTTTAATCATTATGAAGTATCTCTGTTTACCTCTAATAATGCATTCTGCCTTCAGATCTACTTTAATACTTGTATAATTATACCAACATTATTTTGGTTAGTGTTTATAACATATATCATTTTCTAGTCTTTTCTCTTCCAGCATCTTGTAAACAGCCCAGAGTTTTGATTTCTTCTTTCAAATCCAGTATGACGATCTTTATTTGGAGCATTTAGCCCATCCTGTAATCGGTGATATATGTACGTTTAAATCAACTATCTTATATATATATTTTTTGTTTTGTTTTATTTGTAGCATCTGTCCTATATCTGTCTTTTCCTTCTTGCTGTCTTTTGATTCCTTCTTTTGGATTCCTTCTTACCTTCCTCTTGATTATTTTTTATTATTCCATATAAAGCTGTATTTTTGAAATTATTATTACTTTAGTGTTACCCTAAATATTAAAACATAGATCCTCGAACTTATCAAAATCTGATATTATTGATTATTTCTATCGTCTTCTAAGAGAATGTAAAGTATTAGGATGCAATTGCATTTAACCTTCTCCCAGCAGACAGGCAAATGCAGTTGTGAATTCTGATTTCATATATATTTTAAATTCCATGAACAATCGTCATTATTATTGCCTCATTCAGTCAAGATTCATTTGGATTTACTCACATATTTATGCCAACATGCGCTCCTTCCTTCCTTCCTACAAAGCTGATTCATGATCTAGAAACATTTCCTCCTGCTTAAAGAACACTGGAGTAGCTCCTTTAATGTAAGATTGTGGTTAGCAAATTTTGTCATTTTAGGTTTGTCGTATTTTCACTGACTATAAAATTAGCATTCTTTTTTCAGCAGACAACCTCCATTATTTCCATCAAAAATTCAAACAGTGAGCTTACTGTTGTGCACAGCGGATTTTTTTTTCCTTTTTTCCTAACTTTTAAGATATTTTTCCTTTGTTTTTCTGCAGCTTCACTTTGGTATTTCAAGGTGTAGGTTTGCCTTTATTTGTCCTGCCGAGTCTCCTTAGCTTCCAGAGTCTTTGGATTAATGTGTCTATCAGTTTGGAATATTCTCAGATTATCACCTAAATAATACTGCCTTTGCTCCCCTTTTCTCTTTTCTCTTTCTTCTGAGATTACAATTACATACATATTAGCTCTGGGTATCCTCTCTCTCTAACCTCTGTACTTCCTATTCTTCTGTCTCTTTGTGCTTAATCATAGGCATTTTCTCCTGACCTATATTTTTGTTCAGTAATCCTTTTTTCAGATGTCTCATATGCCATTAAACCCTTTATTGAGTTTTTGGTTTTGGTTATTGTACTTGTCAATTCTGATATTTTATTTGTTCTTTTTCAAATCTGATATAGTCCTTTTTAAAAAGTTTGCAGTGTCTTCTGAAAATTGCAATCATGTCTTTTCCTTCCTTGCACATAGTAAGCACAATTAATATCTATCTATCATCTATCTATCTATCTATCTATCTATCTATCTATCTATCTATCTCTGGGGCCCTGGGGGTCTGTTTCTGTTGTATGTGGTTTACCATCTAGAATTTACTGAGTCAAAAGTTATTGTGAAGGTTCTGAATGCATACTGGCATTTCCTTCTACAAAGTTTATACCAGTCCATTCATTTATTTAGCTATTAAGCAACTATTTCTTGGGGCGCCTGGGTGGCTCAGTCGTTAAGCGTCTGCCTTTGGCTCGGGTCATGATCCCGGGGTCCTGGGATCGAGTCCCACATCGGGCTCCCTGCTCGGCGGGAAGCCTGCTTCTCCCTCTCCCACTCCCCCTGCTTGTGTTCCCTCTCTAGCTGTCTCTCTCTCTCTCTGTCAAATAAATAAAATAAAATCTTAAATAAATAAAAAAAAAGATAAGCAACTATTTCTTGAGTATCTGCTTTGTTCTAGAAACTGTTCTGAGCACTGGTGATATAGGAAGGAACAAACCAGACAAAAAGCCTGCTCCTAAGGAGCATTGACTCAAATAGAATTAGAGATACCAGGACAAAATATGTGAGGTAGTGATAAGTACTTTACCAAAAATAGAGAGAGCTCAGGGGATAGAGCATGATGGTGGGTGAGGTGTGCTACTTTTTGTTTTTTAAGATGTTATCTATTTATATGAGAGAGAGCAAGAAAGAGAGCATGAGCAGAGGGAGGGGCAGAGGGAGAAGTAGGCTCCCGCTCAGCTTGATGACCTTGGAATCCAAGGACTCCAAGATCATGACCTGAGCAGAAATCAGATGCTTAACCATCTGAGCCACCCAGGCACCCCAGAAGTGTGCTGTTTTAATGTGGTGGTCAAGTGAGATGACATTCATTGGCGACCTGATGGAAGTGAAAGAAGGGACCATGGAGCTGTGTGGGGAAGAGCATTTCAAATAGAGGGAACAGCAAGTGCAAAGTCCCTGAGGTAGAGGTGTGCTTGAGATGTTCAAGGAACAGCAGGAATACCAGGGGGATCAAGTGTGAGCTTACCAGTGTGAACACTGGTAAGGGGAAGTCAGCCATGGAGGCCCATGTTGGGAATGTAAGGACTTTGAATTTTATTCAAGTGAGTGGGAATTTTATTCACTGAGTGAGATGGGAAACCATTGGAGAGCTTTAAACACAAATGTTTTAAAAGGAGCACTCATATTCATGGCCAGTAATGTATTAGAACACCCTTCCTAATATTTGGTATTTATATTTTTAATCCTTACCAATTTCATAGATACATATCATTTTTTTGTGTGCATTTCTTTTATTGTGGATGAATATATTTTCATATTTTGTTAGTCTTTTTTTTCTTCTGTGAATTATTCATTTGACTCTTTTGGATTATTCCTAGTCCTTGATTTGTTGGTATTTAATGATATTACCTGTTTTTTTATGTCTCTGTTCCAAACATTCTCTCCTAGTTTGTCATCACATTTTCACTTTACCATTTTTCCTGTATACAGATATTTACAGTTTTTATGTGAGTCTAATTTTTAATCTTCTGTGATGTCTTCCACTGATTTTATGTGTAGATAGTACATCATTCTGAGGTTAGATATAAATTTATCTCAGTTTTTAATGGTACTTCTGTGGATTTATTTTTATATGTTGTTCCTTGATTCATCAAAAATGTATTTTTATGTCTGATATGAGGTAAAGAATGAACTACATATTCTTCACATTTAAAAAGTTACACTAATATCACATATATACTAGATCTCTCTCTCTACACATGCTTAAATGCCACAAATCTTTACTAAACTGTTGTATATTGTAGGATATGCTTATTATCTTCCATTATGTTGCTTTAATCTTATTTGGATACAAATACCAGTATTTACTTACTGTTGCTTTATAATTAAACATACTTTACTATTCACTAGAAAAGATCTCTATTTCTTCTATTCAATTATTTTCCTGCTAAATTTTTCCAATATTTTTCAACATGAATTTTTAAAATGCTTTGTCAAGTTTCAGGACATTCAATGAAATTTAACTGGTTTTATATTAAATATTTATATTAATCTGCCCTTAGTGATTTCAATGGCTTTGATAATTTTACTCACCAAGTTGTACTTCAATTGAATTGTTTTTTGGATAAATGATTTTAGGAATTCTTCTGGCATATCCATTTGTTTCTGCTAAGAAATCATACCCACATGAAATTGCATTAGAATCATGTATGATACATTCCCACCTATTTATCCAATGACAGTGCGAAGAAAACATGGCACTGAGCAGGACTTTAATAAGCATGAGTCAAGGAAAGAAAAAAACTCATGGCGTGATAAACTACCACCGCATAAATGCATATTTTTAAACCACAAATAATTGAATGCTAAGGAAAAACCCTAAAAGCTGGGCTACCAGGAGAGTTTGCTTTGCCGTTCTATATTTGGTATAAATATAAACTGATGAGGTTGTGTAATAAAATCTCATTACCTAATAATCCAAATACAGTTTGTAAACAGTGGCTCTAAGCCAAGCTCCGGTCTAGGTCCCAGATAGAGAGAGAGCATGAGCCAATGTTTTATCTTCGGTCCCGCTGCTCCATCCTCCATCCCTGCTTTTCCGTATTCTTTACATCCTGTCCTCTTCTGTTCTTCTTCAGCTCTTCCATTCCTTCACCCTGCTGTAAGACTGTCTTTCCTCGTGTTGACTTCCCAGCCCTTTGTTTTTCTCTACTTCTTCCCTTCCCCACCAACACCTAGTAATCACCTACCTAGCTCCACATTCGTCCTCTATATTTGGGGTGGGATGCGGAGACATTATAAGAGGGAAGCTAGGAAAATGCAAAAACATGTGTCTTGTATAATGACAATACTATGTGCACATTCTACAAACTATTCAAGTTCAGTGTGTCCCAAACAGAGGTCATCATGGGCCAGTGATGTATCACTTTGCACTAGATCTCACACAGCTCAAACCTGGAAGTCACTCTAGGCAACAGTTCTTCTCACCTCTTCAAATTATCAATCACAAAACCAAACTAATTTCAGCTCCTAACATTTCTCTGTGTGTGCCTCCTTCTTCATGGCTAAACCCTCTATTTTCCACTCTCTAGTCTTTCGTTGGTACTCTTATTCATATCCACCTCTTCCGTTACCATCTAAAGGACAAGGACTTTGAAAGTTGCATCTCCAGACCTTTCTCTAGACCAGGACCAGGCCAACTTGATATCTCCACATGGGCACCTCCAAGTACTCAGCTTACCCATGACCAAACTCATGATCTCACTCCTAAATCCAGTTTTCCTCCAGAGTTATACTATTTCATTGAATAATATCATCATCTAGTCTGTTGCATATGCCAAAAGGCCTAGCTCCCTTGACTTTGCCACATCCCTTATCCCATATTCAATCCAACACCAATCCCTGTGGGATTTACCTCCTCAGATGCCTTGAATCCATCCACATGTATCCATCTCCAGTGCCACCATGTTGCCTGTGCCTACCTGATATCTCACCCTCATTTCTGTACCTGCCTCCTCCCTGCCACTCTTAACTCTATAGGGATCATTTCATGCGCGGCAGCCACCCTGAGCTTTCTGGAATGTAAGTCACATTGTGCCACTCTCCTGCTCTCAATCCCTCTGGCTGTTTACCACTGTTCATAGAATAAACTCCATACTCTCTGCTTTGGATTGCATGCTCCTACCAATTCTTGGCCCTGATTACTTCTCCAACCTCATTACCTCACATGACCTCCCCCACTCAGCATTGCTCCAGCCCCCCTGCCTACTTCCCATTATTCACACATACCATGGTCTATTTTGTCACAGGGCTCCCTCAATCTGGAAAAATCTCGCCCACTCCATCACTCAGTTAATGCATCCTGACCGGCAGCGTCACTATTATCAAGAAGCTTTCCCTGACCCTCTGCCTTCTCAACAGGTCCTTGTCTGTTCAGTCTTATACTTTCCATTCCTTCATGGCATTCATCTCCTTGGTAATTACACATCTCATTAACAGATTATCTGATTTATCTCTGCCTCCCTTCCCTGCTCAGACTTCAAAGCTCCATCAGAGTGGTGGTCATGGTGGCTTTCCTCCTTCTCGTGCTCTCTCTACAAAGCACAGGACCTGACTTTATTAGGCACTCAGTAAAGAGCCACTAAATTACTACCCGAAGAAGAATCCCCTGCCACTTCCACTCAAGTTCAGATGATCAGCACTCTTATCAATACTGGGTATTGCAGCAGCTGCCAAAGTGGCCTACAGGCTTCAAGACCCTCCTCAACTCTTGCTCAACCATCTCAAGACTGGTCTTGTCCATCACAAATGCAGCCTTGTCACTCTGCATCCAAGGGCTCTTTGGGGGCCACATGGTAAAGCCTACATGTAATTGGCCCCCTAAACCTTGACCCTATTTAACTCCATGGCCTCAGCTCCCACCACTCCTTACCTCATGCTTAGGTTTGCTCTAACAAAATTAGTTTTAGGTCCAATACAAACTATGCTAGTAGACACTTCTATGCTTTGTCTTATAGTATTCTCTCTGCCCTGCCTCACTCTTTACTTTTATAAATTTGACTCATCCTTCAAAATTCAGCTGAAAAGCCATTTCCTCTTGAAAGCCTTCTAAGACCATTTACTTGCCACCCCTGTGGCTAATTCTGATTCTTTTCCTGGTCCCCCAGACACTATCTATAACTTTATTTATAACTCTATCCTTACTACATAATGTGAAAATGATTCATTTATATCTATAACTCCACTACCACCAGGATGACAACTTCTCAATAGAAGAAATGATGGGTTTTTTTTTTAATTTTTAATTATTAGGTTCCAACAATTGGGGCATATACTAGATCATAAATAAGTGCTTATTGCAACGACACGATATACAGACTATTGAACTCAATGACCTCTTGAATCCCCTATGGGATTTACTTGAGGTAGTCTTCATTTTGCCTTTCAAAGAATTCCTTCAGCTACCAGTGGAAAACTGAGCATGATAGTCATCAACCATTCAGTTATTAAATGGGTCTGTGCCTAGTCTAGTCCAGGCACTGGGCTAGGTGTGGGAGATTCAACTCTGAACAAGACAAAGATCTTTTTTGTCTACATCTGGAGAGATAACAGGTAACATAAAACCCAAGAGCATAAAAATCATGAAATGTAATACAATTAATTTTCTTAATTAAAGAGTTCTGGGTGGGAAGCAGGAAGCCACCCATGCTGATCACATGCCCCAAGACAGCCATGCCATCAAGAAATTGCTAGGTACCACCCCATACATTGAAGTCTGACAGAAATTAGTGACAGACATGATGGTCCAAGTCAAAGAAATATTCCGTCTTCAGTTCTTTCCATTTAGATGAGTCAACATAGAAGACAACTATCTACTGACAAAGGAAAAAAAGGCAATGTAGCAAGAACTCCTTGCTGAACGTGTTGAGAAGAAATGATGCTCATCTGGGCACTGAAAGTCTTTGTCCTGGCCCTGTTTCTGTCACTAACCAGCTTTAGAAGCTTCCTAAGTCACCCCTCCTGGGTCTCTATAAAATTAATGGCTTAAGCTAAATTATCTTTAGGGTTCCTTCTACCCCAAAGATTCTGTTTTCAAATCTCCAGGTCATATGTTCAAGCAAACTGGCTGCTCTGGGTTGAGAACTGATGCCCCATGAGCATCAAGTATCCTGGAGCCCAGTCTAGAGACCTTGAACTCTGCATGCCCTGGGCTGGGGAGGCCAAACCTGGAATGGCCCAGCAAAGTAGTCACACCAATGATGGCTGAGGGAAATAAGAGTAACAATAATATCTACCACTAGATGAACACCTATACTTTGCCAGGGACCCCAGTACCCACTTTACATACATGTTCTCATTTAATTTTCATACCAAGAGTGTTGGGTATTCTGTTTTTCCAGATGAGGAAACGAAACTGCTCATGCCTTTTGCCCTCTTCTTTCTACCTCTGATTCTAACAATGGCAAGTCTGAGAGCCTGCAGACCCTCAAGAAAATCAAGATCAAGAATCACTACTGCCCAAAAAGCCAGCCATCTCACGCAAAGCCAAGAGGAAGCCAAGGCAATGGATATGAGCATACTTACCAATATTCACAGTGATGCTGTTTAAAACAGTGTACTGTTTCCCTGTGTGTGTCAGTCGGGCTTGACATGCGTAGCTCCCTCCATCCTCTGTTGAAACATTGCTCACTGAAAGCTTTGTTTCCCAGGAAATAAACCGTTCTCCTTTAATCTCTTCACAGCCCTAAATACAAAAGTATATATACATACATAAATTAATTCAAAGAGTATTTTGGTGTATCAGTTACATTTCTAGTTAGCACCATCCTATGAACTGTGGGGAGATGCAAGAAACATATGTGATCCCCAGGGTAATTTATAATCTAACTGAAGACGATATTTATATCTATAGATATCAATAGGTAGATAGAAAAATAGATAGACAGATAGATAGATATAGATTTGACAAAGAATATGTTATAGGCTACAGTGAGTACTATAAATATTAAGTCTAATGAAAGTTGAAAGGAAAGAGGCCTACATGAGCTAGAAGGCAGACCACACGGGGGAAGATTGCATGGGCCCACAAAGTAGTGTGGTAGGCGGGTGTGAACAGGCAGGAAAGCCCTCCACCCACATGGGCCTATATCTCCCAGTGGACCACTATCTCATGGCACCAAGGCCCTATGCCAAGACTGCAAGCCCAGGTGATTAATGACCACTTCCGCTGTGTTCCAGGCCCAAATACACCTCTTCACAGAGGTCCAAAATAATTCTTCAAGAACATTCTGTTTGGAGGCCTGAACAACAGTCAAAGTATGCTGGCTAGGCTTATGGACAGACGTCACGTAGCTTGTTACATCACCCATGTTTCCACAGCATCAACAAGAACAACCTCATGCCAAACCAACTTGAGGCCTGGTTAGCCTCAGGAATGCCTTTCTCATTTGTCATCCTCAGCAACCACTCCCAGGGCAGACCTCACCATCCACTGGCAGGACACTGTCAGAAGCTCACATTCTCATGCTCCTTCCATCTCATAGACCCACTTCTGAACTCTCTCAAAACTTTTCCCCTCTCTCAAAACATTTCTTTGGTGGGGCGCCTGGGTAGCTCAGTCAGTTAAGTGACTGCCTTCGGCTCAGGTCATGATCCTGGAGTCCTGATCGAGTCCTGCATCAGGCTCCCCGCTCAGCGGGGAGTCTGCTTCTCCCTCTGACCCTCCCCCCATTCATGTTCTCTCTCTCATTATCTCTCTCTCAAATAAATAAATAAAATCTTAAAAAAAAAAAAGTTTCTTTGGAAAGTGCCACTCTACAGAGCTCTTGGATTATTGAGTCTGCTTATTCATTCAAGCATTCAGGTTTCTGCTCTTTGCTAGGCTGCGAGAGGCCCTGTCATGCAGGAATAGGATGGAGTCCTTGTCCTTAGAAAGCTCACAATCCTAATATAGAAGACAAACTTATAAGCCCTAATAAAAATTTAATTGCTCAAGTGTCCAGCTCTCTCATCACTGAGTCACCTGTAGCTAGCTCAGCATCAGAGCCTGTTCATCACCACTGGAACAATGTGAATGGATCCACCTTGGAAGAGGAAATGCAATCATGCCAGAATGAGCATTTGTTTATTTACAATGCGAATTTCTAGAAGTCTTACATTATACCCTATTTGGGAAACCCAATTATAATTGGACAATTGCTTACCAAGTAGAATGGGAATTACTAGTTAAGAGTCAGATGGGTAAAGGCATCAGATTCCAATAATGTGGTGCCACCTTCTTTAGAGTAGGGACAAACAAAAAGTATTGAGTCCTTGACTATGAAAAATTCTCTGGAGAGAGCTTAGAGAGGGGCAATCCCTGGGCCTCCCTTTCTATGTTTCCATCCTTGACCAGTCCCCTTCTGATCAACTCATTCTTTCTTTCAAGATGTACAAATATTTAATCATATTAAAACCCAGCCTTGATAGCTGAAGAGCCATTCTGTCCCTTTACGGTAACTAAGACTGCTTCTACTGTGATCCACCAGAGCATCATTTTAGAGTTTAAATTCTCAGAAGGTCTTGATTTTTATTTAAAAATTTGTGGGCGACATCTCATTAAGATTTAAAGTTAAAATATTAATACCAATAGCAGCCAACATTTTAATATATTTTGTCTTTCAAGCACCAAGAAGAACACTTTTGACCCAGCATATACATTGGTTGGAGACATAAAATAGCTCAGAGCACTCTGGCTAAGGTGCAGGGCCTATAGGAGAGTAATGGAGATAGAACTGGTCAGGCAGCCAGGGGCCCAATCCCAGAAGATCATGAAAAGGGGATGAACATTGAAGCTTTTCCAGCAAGGGAATAACATGATTCCATTTGCCTTTGAGAATGATCTCAGCAAATATAGATTTAGCACAGTGGCAAAGCAGAAATCAATGTATTGGGAAGTAATTTGGAATTGAAAAAAAAAACAAACAAACCTGGAGACATCACTGCATTTCCAAATGTGAATACTTCACTATCTACGAGAATGGATATTTTAATACCTGAACCTTGTCCTCCATAACACCTCAATTTCAAGGACCACCTCTACTCTTCTCCATCTCCAATTCTCCCACCTACAAGCTGGACTTTGTCATGATCCAGAACTGCTATGTCTCTAAATTCCTAAAAACATCTATACCATTCTGATCGTCATTTCTTATGATTCCTTCTCTTCCATTCCTTTATTTTCACCAAATAATAATACTTGATGTTTATTTATCAAGTAATTACTAGGCATCCATGCTGAACTAAGGGCCTAATGGATAGATTATTTTATTTACTCTTCAAAACAAATCTAGGGGGCTATGTCCCTCTGACTGGATTTAGTTGCAGAAAACAAAAAGCATTCTGGCTGTTCCAGGTGGAAAAGGATTTAACACAAGGTATTCGGTGCTCACAAAATTTTAAGAAGTACGCAGGGAGTGAGATCTAAGCCAGAACTGAACTGCGGACCTAGCTCGCAGGATACCTGCTACCCTCCACCACAGCGCTGAGGTGGGACTCAAGACCTTGAACCACAGTCAGAGACCAGGGGTTGCCACGGTGCGGCCAGTGTGTGCGAGGCCATGTCATCTCTAACGAAAGCCACACCAACAACAACATCAGAAGGCAGATGCGCGGCCTCTCAGCTCCCACAGAGCTAGGGTCTGGGCCCGGAACACCGCTGCAGAAAATCCCCATGGCCATGCTGCCTAGCAGAAAAGCAAGAAGAGCTACTGTTCTCATTTAAGCCTTTCGGGGAAGCCGGCTGAAGAAACTGAATCACATCCAGAACCTCAGCTGCAGACAACTCGGGGAAAGCACAGGGTGTGTTTGGGGTTGCTTTGTTCTTATTTTGTAGCTCTATAGCCGCTCTAGTTTAAAGAAGCTCACCATGGATAGTGAGCGTCTATCCACCACATTCATTATACTTTTCTACCTGAACTTTCTCTCAAACTCATTTTTCTATGTTATCCTGGACATACAGTCCCCTTGGCCCCTCTATTTTGTTTTAATGACCACTTTCCTTCAGGCATCACTTCCTTTCCCAACCTGTGGCCATTACTTTACTCATCCCCTTTCGGTTCCTCGATACTGTCGCCCTTTATCCATCCAGCACATTCAGCCTGCAAAATCCCATCTGTGTCGGTTCCATCATCCTCCTCCTACAAGCCTACAACCCGATGAGCACTACAGGAGAAAATCACATCGACATGCATCGTGGCACCACTACCAACTCATGGTCCTCACCTTAGACATTCTTCGCCTTCGACTCTCTCGTTCACCTATTCACTTATGCTGCTCTTTCTAAATGTCCACCTAATATCCCGGAGAAGAGAGGGGCCACCAGGAACGAGTTCCCTCCACTGACTCTCCTCTCCTTCCCCCTCATTCTATCAGTTCTACTTCATACGCTGTCCTACATGGTCCCCACTCATTCACTAAATTTCTGAAATAGCCTCAATGACCCACATGCTACCATTCTCAAGCCCTTCCAATGTGTGCACTGCGGTGCCTACAGGAGTTGACTAATACATAAAGAAGCTGAGCATGTCATTATCCTAATGGTGTAACTGACATACTTTAAGTGGGGAAAAGGCTACGTGTAGGTGAGCATACACGATCTATTTCCTAGCATCACCTTACTCCACTCTGACATGGACCCCAAACTCTAACCAATGCGCCCAAACACCATTCTCTTTCCCACCTGATACCTTTGAACCTGCTGGGGTTTTTTTCTAATTACCATCCTCCCTTCTGCCTGCCACGGCTTCACTGCAATTCATTCTTAAAGCAGTGCAACGGTCACCTCTTCCAGGAAGCATTTCCTAGCACAGCTGCAAGCGGATTAACACGAAGCTCTACATCCTGGAAGAATTGATTCCAACTCTCTCATCTGACGGAAGAAAACACTGAAGCCCAAATAGTAACTCAAGGTCTGAGAACTAGATAGTAGCAAAAATAGAGCCATAACTGAGGTCACTGAATCTGAACAGGTGGGACAGTTTCAGAAGGATCTCTCCTCGTTATATGGCTTGGCTCCTAACCTCCTGTCTTCTCAAGCTGAGCAGTTATTTTATTTTTTTAAAAGAATTATTTATTGGGACACCTGGGTGGCTCAGCCAGTTAAGCGTCTGCCTTCGGCTCAAGTCATGATCCCAAGGTCCTGGGATCAAGGTCCACGTTGGACTCCCTGCTCAGCAAAGAGCCTGCTTCTCCCTCTGCCTGCCACTCCCCCTGCTTGTGCTCTTTCTCTCTCTCTCTGATAAATAAACAAATAAAATATTTTTTAAAAAATAATTATTTATTTATTTGAGGGGGGAGGGGCAGAGGGAGAGGGAGAGAGAGAATCTCAAACAGACTCCCCGCTGAATGCAGAGCCCGACATGGGGCTCGATCCCATGACCCTGAGATCATGACCTGAGCTGAAATTAAGAGTCGGACACTCAATCGAATGAGCCACCCAGGCATCCCTGAGCATTATTTTAAAAATAAAAATGCCTGAACCCCACCCATGGATAATCTGATTCAGTGAGTAGAGGCAGAGTCCAAGCAAGTGCTTTAAAAAAAAAAAAAAAAATCCATCGCTCTTAATGCTGAGGTAGTAACAAAGTTGATTGTAAACATCTACCTTTCTACAGATGTCAAGTGCTTTTCAGTCTATGACCACAACAGGTCCAGGCCAGGAGGAAAAGATTTCCGGAAGAGTCCTACTGTCAAGAGGGTCCTAATGCTGGTCCCATGAGATAATGGTTGCAAGGCTGCAAGCTGGGAGACAGGATGCTTGAGGAAGAGTCTACAGAAGCCTCGGAGAGGAACTGAGACTCACCATATCCTGAGAAGGCCAAAGCAGAACTTGGAAAATGGGTAATGCCACAGTCAGAGCCAACTGAGGCTGAGGGGACTGTGGCCTGGCAACCAATACCCTCTGAATGGAACAGGAATACTGTGAGGGGATTTTTTTTTTCAAGTAGGCTCCACGCCCAACGTGGGGCTTGAACTCACAACCCTGAGATCAAAAGTCACATGCTCCACCGACTGAGCCAGCCAGGCGCCCCCTGGAACAGGATTATTGTTAATAATTAAATTGTAGCCAGATCCAATGTTAATAAGAGGATAATGAGAGAGAGTATGCAGAGCATTTATTATACATCCTGACACACATTAAATGAATACCTGTGTAATTTTTCCATTAGCCCAATAGTTGATACAGAAAGTGAAAAATACTGGAGGTAGGAAGAACTCGGAAGCCATCCACCTATTCAGTAGAAACTTTCTGAACTAAGGCTAATACCTAAGGGCCAGGTATTAGCCTTGCAAGTGGAGACAGCACAGGTGGGAGCTTTAAATTCGATCAAGATGAACTTTTCATGAATGGAACAGTTGATGTTTAGAACTATCACCAATTATTCTGAAGGTGATGGCTGACAAACTGATACGACAGTGCTTCTGACAGATCTACGCATGTAGGGGACAAAAGCTAGAGTCAGGACTTGACAATGAGGAGCATCCCGGCCAAACTCTCTAGTTGTCATTGGGGATGTGACCAAGCCATGTGGTTTGGTTGAACCACTAAAAGCAGGGCCCTAAAGAATGACTGAACCAATCCTCACTTCAAAGGATGATTCTCACAAGTTTACAACTGAGCCAAGCAAGCCAGACACAAAATGCTACATATAGTAGGACTCAATTTCAATAAAGTTCATAAGCTGGCAAAACTAATCTATGCTATTATAAGTCAGGGGATTCGGGAGGCATAGTTTTTGGAAGATGGCAGAAGTGAACCTTCTGAGGTGCTAGTAGTATTTTTGTTCTTGACCTTGATAGATGGAAGGGGTAGCCAAAAGTTGTATTCACTTTCTGATGATCCATCAAGCTTGTCCAATTATGCTTCATGCATTTTCTATACATATACTATACTTCAATGAAAACTGTTCCTGCATTCCAAACATTGGTACCCAGGATATAGAAATATATAAAATCTCCTGTAAGTCAGTAATGAAATGGTAAAAAAAAAATGAAAAAAAATAAATAGGGCAAAAGACATGAATCACAAGTTCAGAAGAGGATTCAAAAACAGTCAATAAACGTATGAAAAAGTTGGTCAACCTCACTAATAATTAAGGAAAAGCAAACTAAAACAAAAATAAGGTAGCAATTGTACCCATCAAACTAATTTTAAAAATATAAGTCTCATAATACAAAGTCCCACTTAAAGTTTTAGGGACCCCAGAATATTGCACAGGAGAGTATAAACTAATATAAAATTTTGTAGAGTAACTTGGCAGCATCAGTAAAATTGAATACTTTATTCATATACATACTCTACAATCTAATGGTTATAAGGCTAATCAGCATGTATCCTAAAAAAACTCACACACTGGCAAATGTGCGTTAAAAGACAGGGATAAGGGGCACCTGGGTGGCTCAGTCGGTTAAGTGGCCGACTGTTTCGGCTTAGGTCATGATCTCAGGGTCCTGGGATCGAGCCCTAGTTGGGCTCTGTGCTCAGGATGGAGTCTGTTTGAGGATTCTTTCTCTCTCCCTCTGCCCCGCCCTCCATGCATGCACAGGCACACACTCTCTCTCTCAAATAAATCTTAAAAAAAAAAAAAAGACATGGATAAGGATATTGCCATGGTCCTTGTGAGACAGGAAAGTGGAAACAAAGTAAACGAACACGAAGCATATAATAGAAAGGATGAACAAGACCAAAATTTGATTCTTTGAAAAAAAAATAATAGAACTGACAACTCTCCTATGAGACTAATCAAGTGAGGAGTGAGAGAGAAATACATCGTAACAGCGATTAAAAGAAGAACCTTATTTCAGAAGCAGACATGAAAAGAGCAAAGATGACAAACAGTTACGTGCCAGAGTATCTGGAATATTTAATGAAACGAGTGATTTCCTACAAAAAAAGGAATCTTACCAAACCTCCTTCAGGAAGAAATGAGAAATTGGCATAAGGCTATCTCCATTAAAGAAACTGAATCGGCAGATAAAAAGCTTTCCCCAGAGAAAACTCACCGCCCAGATGGTTGTATTGGCAAGTGCTGACAAGCAGAGAGTTACAGGAAAACTAATCCAATCTTAAGTAAGAAACCTGTGCTCCCCTGTGCCTTGGATTATGTCTTAAATATTATCATCTGCCAGGACAGCCAAGAAAAGAGTGTTGGAGGGTGAAAACACAAGCTGCAGAAAGGTGAGTTTAGGATTCCCCGTTTGCATAAAAATGGAAGGACAAGGGTATAGTTTCATTTGCTTGTATAGCATTATACAAAAATAATGCAGAGAAAGCAAGCACCTAGTTGGCAGCCACAGGTTAGGAAAGGTGTGATGGGCCCAGGGCAAAGAGAGCTCAGGAGTGGGGAGGGCACTTGCCAGGGATGACTTTTTATACTTTGGGATTATTGAATCATGGGCATAAGTAGTACACATTCAAACAAATTAATTAATCTCTTCAGAAAAAAAAAAAAGAATAACCAAGGAGAGTCTGAAAACTGTAACTGTGGGGAGATAGTGAACACAAGTAACAAAATATTACAAGGCTGTAATAACCATTAATTTTAAAAACAATAATTAGCAGGGTAAAATTATCAGTAGCAATAGGCTAACAAATCTGTCTCAGGTACACAAATCTCTTTACCAATTCTGCCTTAAAAGATCCAACTTGAACCAAAAAGCAAATAAATTTTAAAGAAGAAGAAAAATAGCAATAGGAAAATCATTTTGTGTTTTACCTTATACCACTTTAGGGAATCCAAAACACAACTCTGTGGGAAGTTCAGATGACAGGTAAGGCTGTCGTCCCTTCCAGCATGTAATATTTGTCTGTATTCATCCGATAAAATCAGCTGGCCTTTTCCAGAAACACCACACCAGTATTTTCTTAATACAGTGAGGTTTACGGGGATTCTGTGACAGGTGTTTGTGCTGCTGTAAGAAAATGACAAATTGAAACCTCAAAAACTCAAACAACCACAAATCAAATGAAGCTGTGCATCTTCCAATCTTGCCAAATCATCAAGATACCGTGCAAATGCCCTACCTCAGCCAAGGCAGGATGCGTCTCAGAAATCATTAATTACAAAAGAAAAGAAAATAGTTCTACTGTGGAAATGCAGGACCACACCATGGCCAAGGGATCAGGCTGAACAGCACCAGTGAGGGGCAAATGGACACCGTGAGCCTCGGGGTGTGTTGTCCGAAGAGGACACAAACGATTTAACGTGGTACTCCAGCCGAGAAGGTTCAACCTCAACCTACGCGTGAAGAAATATCTGGCAAACCCAAATTAAGGGCTAGTATATAAAATAATCGCCTGTACTCCTTAAAAATGTCAATGTCGTGAAGAACAGATGGAGGAACTATTCCAGATGAAAAGAGACTGAAAAGACATGACAGCCAAGTGCAATTCATGAGGCCAGATTGGACCCTCTCCCGAAAGGAAAGAAAAAAATTATAAAGAAAAATCGAGACAATTGGCAAAATTAGCGTATGAATGGGGAATTAGATAAAAATATTGCATGATGGGTAGGATAACTATATTGTGATTATGTACAAGAATATTCTTGTTGATAGCAAATAGCACATTGAATTACTCCAGGCTAAGGATGCATACAACTCAAAATTTGGAGAAATCCCCAAAAACTATTTTGGAAAAAATGGTTTAGAAAAAACTATTGCATGTAAATATACATATAGAGTTGACCCTTGACCAACTCAGTCGTTAGGGGCATCACCGGATCCCTTGCACTGTTGAAGATCCGCATAGAACTTTTGACTCCCTTGAAACTGAACTCCTAATAGCCCACCATTGACCGGAAGCCTTACTGATTACATAAACAGTGGATTAACACATATTCTGTATGTTATGTGTATTATATACTGTATTCTTAAATAAAGTAAGCTAGAGGAAGAAAATGTTAAAACCATAAGGAAGAGAAAATACATTTATAGTAATGTACTGTATTTATCAAAAGATATCTGTGTATAAATGGCCCTGTGAACCTCAAACCCATGTTGTTCAAGGGTCAGTTGCATATGGAGAGAGAGAGAGAATTATAAGGTAAATGTGGCAAAACGTTAAATAAGAGGAATCTAGATAAAAGGTAGATGGGACTTTTTTATACTATTCTTGTGAATTTTGTGTGAATTTGAAATTACTTCAAAGTAAAAATACACAATTTACTAGGTATGTATCATCTCTGTATGTTAAAGATTTGTGAGAATTCACATTTATTTCATGACGGATAGCATCTATGTCTACCTTCTATGAAAGGTTATCTTTCCCCGTTTACAGCTCCCAGATTTAAGTATTTCAAATCCAGTCTAGACATCCGGATGGAATTTGTGTGCCATACAATCTCCCCCCTCTTACTTCATAACCTAGAGTCACACAAGACAGCAGACCCCACCACAAGACGTCAGCACCTGGGAAGGAGTCAGGAAATAGGGGCTCACGACCTCTCCCATTTCTGTAACACTGACAGGCAGAGGCAAAGACCACAGAGACAAAGCAGCAGAGGGAGAGCACAATCACCCTCCTGGAGTACCTATCTCACACATCATCTCCACTAATTGTCCCTTCAACTCTATCAGGCTGACATTTTACAGATAGGAATATCAAGGTTCCAATTTATTGAATAATTTGTTAAGGACGAGCACATCAGTAAGGGAGGGTAACAAAATTGAGGGCCTTAGGCAAAATTTATCCACGAATGTGTTTTATTTAAGCTACACACACAAAGCTTATTGAAAAGTTACACACACACACACACACACACAAAAATGCGATTTCCAGGTTCCCTTGAAAAACTGGAAAATGGCCTTGAGCTGAATAGACCACTGCCTTTGGTGGGACAAATGCTTTCTGGCTCACCGCAGCCCCCACCAGGCTCAACTGTCTCCCACCAGATCTGTGCCACTCACCTACACTATTTCCTAGCACAGGGCTCATCATGGAGCCTGGAACATAGCTGATGCTGAGTCACTCAAGTTCCTATCACAGAGCCCTTACAAAAAGGTGCTCAAAGGAGGTTTATTCCTATCTGGTTGTGCCGCCTGTCACACACACTTCCCAAATTCCAAGAAAGAAGGTAGCAATAATATTGGGAGAAACAGGTTTTTAAGCTGGCCTGGCTTGTGGCCTCATTCCAATGGGAAAAGATGCATCTCATGTTCCAACGACTGCTTTATAAATCTGTTCTGTTTTAAAATATGTTCACTGGAAACCATCTGGTAACAGTTACAAAACTGTATTTTATTCTTCTCCCTGAATTTTCTACGTTTATTAAGAGTTTATTAAGAATTTTCCTAGAAGAATTGTGTATGTATATAACTGTAACATTATATATTTTTACATATATATATATATATATATATATATATGACAGACAGAGAGAGAGAGTTCTATTTTAAATGAGAAACTTACTTTATAACACATTGGTAGATCCCAGAGTCCTCCTGTGTCAGGGGGAGAAACAAAATCCAGTTTTGCTCCTGGTGAATTCTAGACTGTGTGTTTTTGGATATTGGAATTTTGTTAGGATATTTATACCATGTCACACGTACTTTCCCAGATGTTAGTGGCGGGTGCGTACAGTTAAAAGCAAAAGGCTGGCCTGCTGAAGGTGCCTCGTTTTGCATACTAACATCCTTGCATGCATCTAGGGAAAGAAAGGGGGGAAATCATGAAAGAGAACTCTAGCGTTACTGATTATTAGTTTTAACAAATGCCTCTTTAATTTTCTATCCAACTTAAAATTTTACTGGAGAGTTTTCTCAGTGTGGGAGTTCCCTAAAATAGTCTGCTGATTTGAAAGCATAACTGGAAGTCCTTCAAATGTGTTCATAAAACACACTGACTCATCCTCCCCATTTGGAATGGTTTCTCTCTGTCCATTCTTTTCTAAGACCCTGAATCCCTTGATCCTCCTCCTTCAGAGTAAACGTTCCTATTCCAAGCCCTCCTTGTCCCATTTCTTTCTGCTCTGCCACCCAGCTATTTCACTCTGTCTTCACTAAAAGGTGTAAGTATACCATCCCTAAAAGGACTGTTGAAAAAAATCTGCTCATTTTAAAGTTCATTTCTACTGAATTGCTTTGAAGAAACTGTTTCTTCTTGGAAGAAATCTGCTGTGTTGATGGTTTCTGTGTTTTTACCCTGGGTCATAAAATGACCCTCTGTCATATAAAATAGTATTATATCCATTTGAGCATTTTGACTCAAGACTTCCAAATTTGCCTATTCCCCCACCCCCATCCCCACCAAAGTCATCTCAAAACTCAAACGTGACACTGGGGCTGAGCATCAGATGCTGGGAACTGAAACTTGCTGTTTCCGCATTCGGACGGAATTCTGCCTGGTCCCCTAGGGTAAGTGTAACCACAAGGCTCGGGTGTCATGCGATCCCCCAGGGGTCTGCACAGGGGCTCTTGCAGAGCCGCAGGGAGGCAGGTAGGAGAGGGTGGCCTGCGAGGCAGCCGAACGTACCTGTTCTGACAAAGGGTGGAAGCGCGAGGGACACTCCGCAGAGCACCAAGGCCAGCATCCCCCTGTTGGGCTACCAGGAAGAGAGAAGGTGGGAGGGGATGGGGCACAGCGGCGACAATGAATCTCAGAGATCCTAACCCAGGCCCCTGGCCTTCCCTTTCTTCGTGGGGAGCCCTCCAACTCTGGCCCCACATTAGCCCGACGTGCCCCCAAAGACTCCCTCCTCCCCGCACGAACCTCCTGAATCCCGGCTGGAAGAGGGATCAGCGGGAGGGGTTGGGAGGCCCGGGGCCCGGGGACAGAAAGTCATGGTAGGGTGGCTGCAGGTGGGAGGCCCCCAGCCCCCGGGGTGCGCCGTCGCCCCTGTCTGGCAGCGAGGCAGGGTCTGCGTCCTGCGCCCGGTGGGAGACACGTCACCCACCCCGGATCCCCACCTGCGCGTCGTCGCGCGTAGCCTCCCCTGCGCGTCCTTAGCCTCGGGGTCCCCCTGGGCCCGGCGGTCCAAACGGAGCCCCACCACCGGCTCACCTGGGAGAAGCCCTCTTAGGCCGACCTGGCAAAGGCGGGCAGGGAAGAGAGAGGAAGCCGGAGCGCCGCCGGACCGGCAGGTATAGACGGGAGCTGCACGCCTTCGCCCAGAGACGGAACCCGCTCCCCCAAGGTCGCCCAGCCGGTCCGGGGCGGCCCCGGCGTCCCGATCTCCGGCCTCCGGGTCGGTCGCGCACATGTTTGCCAGCCACCTCTTTCCCTCCACACCTTTCCGGGGGTCGGGGCCCCACCCGCTTGGCTCAGCCGCACACTCCCAACCGGCGCCTACCTGCCGGACGGGACTGGAGCGCGCAGGATCTTGGAAAGTGGAGAATCCAGCGCACAGGCACCGAACCCAGGTGAGGCGTTTCCATAGCACGCTACTTCCTTGCCACCGTGGGCAGGGCAGGCCTACCTTCCCCCAGGGGTTGCGTAGGAAGGAACGGTGGCATCACACTAAGAAGTGGGTTTAAAGGCGTGTTACCTGATTTTCTGGCAGCTAACACGTCTTTCATGGGCAGTCATGTCTGCTTAAATCTATTCCGAATTATCCCCGTAAACGAATTCTTTCCTTTCCAAACCTCATCTGAGCAGTGATTACATGCCCTTCTCGGCCTATGTAGAATGCCCCCAAGTGGCTTCCAGGGAATAGCCTTTATCTGCCTGAGTCGTGCTGTCAACTTCTGTAGAGCAGACATCCCAGTGTGATCCTGAACTACCTGGAGCACGAAGTCTGGTCCTGTCTGATTTTCCAAATAAGATGATATCAAACAGGACTGTTGCGCTAGCCCTCAGGAAACACCCCCAGAGAGATCCCCCTGAGGGGCGCTGGGACTTAGAAAATATATATAAAATGTCATCTCCATTCAGCAGATTCCCAGCCAAGCTCTATCTGGTGGTCTTTGTGGTTTTAGAGACAGTGAGGCGGCGGCGGGGGGGGGGGGGGGGGGGGGGGGGGCAACCAGAGGAACAGGCCAGGAGTTCAGTATCTGCATTGCCAGCAGCGCTTTCTGTGACGGCCCGAGGCCAGTGGATTGTTTGCACATTTCTTCAGTCTTAAACATTATTGAGGATTCCAAAGTGCTTGTTTATGTGGGTTATGTCTGTCAATAGTTACTATATTAGAAATTAAAATGGAGAGCATGTAAAACATTTATGTTCTTATTTATTTTAAATAACAACAATAAACTTAACATAAATGTTAGCATAAATAGGGTACATCTTATGAAAAATAACTGAACTTTCCAAAACAAACAAAATTATTGAGAAAAGTTATATTGTTCTACGTACTACCACATACCCCTACTTAGTGTTTGCAAATCTCTTTGGTGTGTGACCTAATAAAAGACAGCTGGATTCCCATACCTTCTTCTCTATCAAATCTCTTAGGATGTAACATGCTGGGCAGCCTCTGAAAAAGTCCGCTATACTCAGCGGAGAGAATGAGAATTTAAAAGATAAATAAGGTCTGAGTATTATTGTGAAATCAAAACGATTTCACAGATCTTGGGGACCCTTAGGGCTCTCACACTTTGAGGACCCCTTTGCTAAGCTATAAATGGAGATCTTTATTACTTTTCCCTAACATCAGCATTAAATGAGGTTCCTCTGTACATACATATTTTGCAAGCCTCAGCCCCCACCCAAAACAAAACAAAGGTGTTATTATGAAAACCATCAGGTGACTCACATACAGAACTACTATAAGCAGTGTTAAAAGTTATTTCCAAATTTTTCTTAATTTTCTTTGTCTGTTTCAGGTTTCTACCTTATGAACAAATTTGGATCGTATCTTATTTTTTTATCGTTTGAATATAGGTGTGAGGGCCAAGTTCAATCAGTATAGTTGCCCCAAAGCTTATGAAGTTTCAACGAGCCACCCCAGCCTCCCGGCAGCACCTCCTATGGGACATTTCTGGTATTTCCTTTTACTGGTGAGGCTCTGGACCGGAAACTTAGACTTTGAAGGATGTTTTCTATGCCAAGTGTGTTTCCTGATACAGGGAGAGCAAACCACATGGCTTTGAAGGCAGAACTGATGGGGGGCAGAGGTGGGACGGGATTATAAACTTCATAATTAAAAACAACAGAAAACCAAAACATTATTGCAGGCTCTCAATTACCTTAAAAATTTGGAGAAACCTGATAACATTGTTTGCTAATGAGAAAAGGGGAGGAAGAAATTAAAACAATTTATTTATGGAGCTTCGAGGCTTGCTTTGTTATAGTCATGAGAAAATTGCTGTTTTATGCAGGAACTTCCTGAATTCAATCACTTTATTCTTCTTCTCTGATTTTCATATTTAAAATTTTCCTTTTAAATGTGCATCATGCAATAATTAACAGCTAAGTAATTCAAAACAAGTCATAAGTCATGGGAGCAAGACCCAGCCTCAGAAATCACAATGACCAAGTTTCCTGTATATGTGTTTCTCCCACCACCCAAACTCATTATCCTCTTTAGTGCTTACCTTTCTGATCAGTGTGTGTGTGTGTCCCTTAAGCAATATAAAATATGATATGCAAATATTTTGAGAAGTGTAGTTCTAGTTCATGCAAGGCCACTACTGTATGGATATTCCATTGTATTAATGTACTGCAATTTATGTATCCATCTCCTTTGGACATTGTTTCAAATTTATATTTGCTCTTAAAAATAATGTTGTGGTTGGGCGCCTGGGTGGCTCAGTCAATTAAGCGTCAGACTCTTGACTTTGGCTCAGGTCATATCTCAAGGTTGGGAGACAGGCTCCACACTGGGCATGGAGCCTGTTTAAGATTCCTTCTCTCTTCCTTTCCCTGCACCCCACTTCCTCTAAAAAAAAATAGTGCTGCAGTAAAGATTTTTGTAATGTTCTCTTGTGTGGATTTTTGAGAGGTTATCTAGGGAGTAAAATTGCAGCATCTTTGGGTAGGTGTATCTTTGACTATATTAGAAAAATCCCTCATTTTCTCCACATTAGCATCTTTTAGAGGATAAGAGTTTCATCCTTTCGTGTTCTTGTCAATATTTGGTAATGTCAGACAGACTTTTCCATGTTGCCAGTTTCGCCAGCCCAGTGATGCAGAAAGCTATCTTGTGATCTTGTGATTTTACTTTACATTTCTCTAATTACTGGTAAGATGGGACATCTTTGCCTACGTTCATTAGCCATGTGTGTGTGTTTCTGTGATATTTCCTTTTGTGTATTGCCCTTTTACCCACCTGGTTGTTTATCTTCATCTTGTCCATTTGCAGAGAGCTCATTAAGTCCTACCTCTGATGTCTCCTGTAGTTGCCTTCAAAGGGAGGCACAGATGTATCTCGCTGCCCTGTCCCTGCCTGGGAATTCAAACACCAGCGGTGCCCCTGATCTATAGAATAGGGATGATTAGACCCACTCTGCAGAGATGACGTTTGTAAAAACCTCCTTGCTGAGTTCCTGACAGCAACAGATGTTTGATGAGCATGCAGTTTATCCTCATCCTCCCACTGACTCCTCCTCCTCACAGTCTTTCCCAACTGCAGACATTCTTGCAATGGGAACATTCTGGGAAGTTTATGCCATTAGGCACAAGCCTTGGGTAATGGACTCTCTCCAATTGTTTTGTTTTGCTGTTTTGTTTTGTTTGTTTGTTTTATGAAGTGAAAGAATCCCTCCACAGATTCATTGCCTCATCCTACAAGCAGGGGTAAAGCAACAATCTATGGATGATGGAGGCATTGCTGAGTTCAGCTTGGCTGAATTTTACCTTCAATCCTCAGACAAGGATGTGATGCAGCTACCTAAGAGTAGCAGGGCAATGATTTTTATTAAAGGTCTCATATATGAATGCACACTTTATATAATGTGCAGTGGCTTTTCTGTGTTCTAGTTAAATATCTGATAGTTTCCCACTGAATGGAACCTGCATGTAAAGTTTCTCAGTGAAAATGAAGCAGAAATATGTTCACGTGTAATGGACAAATGCTCTGAAACGCAGGTTAGGCTGGAGTGAGGGGGTGGAGGTTCTGCCCAGATCTTTATATCTTTAAGGTTCTTACATTCTCACATTTGTCCTCTCTGGGAGACTTGAAATCTACACGAGCAATGCTGTGGCAGGCTTTCGTTGCTGCGATGACATGAACTTCCAGAGACGGAAGAAGCAGCAGGGAGACAGCCTTTGGTTTCCTGAGGTCCCTCCCGTGCCTGCCCTCTCCCCCAAGCCCCATGATCAGCCGTTTCGCTCACTTGCTGAGTATTCACACCGCCCCCACTGTGCACCGGAAGACATCCTGAGTGCTGGCAACAGCTGTAGAGAAGACGACAGATCCTCTCAGAGCTTACAGTCCAGTGGCTGGTGTGTGGAGTGGGGGGACAATAGGTATGGGAGAATCACTGAGTAAGAGATGGTTTCAAGCTGGTGAGAACCAGAGAGGATATGAAATACGATGAAATGATAGAACGTTGGGAAAGGCTTCACTAAGGAAGGGACCCCGTAGCTGAGACCTGAGTGATGACAAGTAGCCCACCCAGGTAGCTATCGGGGGAGAGACTTCTCCTTCTAGTAGGGACAGCTAGTATAAAATCTCTGAAGGAGGAGAGTGTTTGCACATTTCAAGATAACACAGATGAAGCCAGTGTGACCTGAATAGAGTGAATCAACAGGAACCCTGGGTAAAAGAAGTCACAGAGTAGGCTGGAGCGAGACCATACACAGGCCCATAGGCAATAAAAAGAAGGTTAGATTTTATTCTAGGTAAAATTAAAAGCTATTAGAAGGTCTAAAGCAGAAAAGAGATATAATCTTATTTACATTTCTTAAATGTCATGTTGATCATCAAAAGCCCATCAAAATGACTGAAATTATAAAAACTGACGCTACTAAGTGTTGACAAGGATGTGGGACAACAGGAGCTGTTGCCTACTCTTGGTGGGAGCACAAACTGGCATGACTACTTAGGAAAACTATTTGGTACTATTTTCTGAAGCTAAGTCAGCAAATCCACTTTGAGGGATACTCCAAATAGAAATGCATACATATGTTCACAAAAGAGACATTTGCCAGAATATTCACAGCAGTGGTATTTATAACAGTCAAAAACTGGAAATTACCTAAATGCCCATCAACAATAGAACAGGTAAAACAGGTGTGGTAGATTCACATAATGAAATACTGGAGAGCCATGAGGGGGAACTACACACAAATACAGGCAGCAACATGGATGAATCTCACAGATGAATCTCATATATATATACATATATATATACATACATATATATATGTATATGTATATATGTATGTGTATATATATAATATCAAGCAAAAGAAAATAGATTTTAAAAAAGACATCATGCTACCTGACTCCACTTACATAAATTTCAAAACCAGGAAAAATTAATCTATGCTGTTGAAAGTCAGAATGGTGGTTCCCCTAGAGGCA